ACTAACCCTGTATTTGCTGTTTAAGTTCGCATTTTTCCAGCTTTTGGACTGTCTTAAAATGGCCCTAACTACTTCGGAGCTTTTGCATCTTATGCTTTTTATTATTCTGAACAACATTCCTCTATATACCTAAGCATTGGATGCAGGTTCTGACCATGTTTCATTACAAAAAGTGGTCCATTAGAGCGGAATTTGAAGTCCCTAATGTGGGCTACTGACTGTGAGAAACTAATTTAGTAGTGAGGTCGGAGTTGTGATGTATTGTAACTGTGAGAAAATGCGAACACTCAGCTGCCTGAATAGGCAGGTCAGGGGAAAGAGGGAACAGGGGCACATTAAATAAAACACAAAGATAATTCCACAGCTTCCTCAGATGGTGGCGCAACTCGGCGCAACAACGACCCAGTCCTGGGGAATATATATATGGGGAGGTTTGGGGAGCTGTTGCGCCGAGTTGCGCCACTGTTTGAAGTGGCTGGGGCCAGTATGGTAGTTTTGCAGGTAGTAAACGTGCTGCTGGATGATGAGGAAGCGGCGCAACACGGCGCAACAAGTTGTCCCATATACCTTGAGGGTATACCTAGAGATGGGTACTTGTTGCGCCGAGTCGCGCCAACATCCTGGCCGTTGGCACCCTCTTCTCCTCGTACCGAAACGGTATTTGAGCTACAGCACAAGGAGGAGGGCAGCTATCTCCGTAGGAATTTTATCAGTATACTCTCCTAACATGCCCGGACATATTTCGTCACCTAACCCTGGGTCGGGGAGCGACGGTTGCTTCGCTGCGCTCAGCGAGATTCTCGACGAAGAAGGGGGCACTGGAGCGTGGGGAAGCGGCGCAACTCGGCGCGACAAGGTGATTCTTCATCAGAACACCCTAACGGAGGTGTGTGAAGTTGTTGCGCCGCGAACGGAGAAGGTCGACCGATTACACCCTGTAATCCGTCGGATAATATAGATAGGCTCAGTATTCCTCTAGTGGATGGTAAAGTTCGCATTTTTGCACCTTTTTCCCACCTCAAATTGTCCCCAATAGCTCCGAAGTTTCTGTATTTTATGTATTTCATTATTCTGAGCAACTTTACTCTATATACCTAAGTATTTGGGACAAGTTCTGCCTTTGTATTCACAAAAAAAAGGCCCTCTGAGCGAATTTTGTTGTTCTTTGCCTGTGGGAATGTCCCCTAGCTCCCCTGGGTCATGTGCTTACAGAATACTTCAGAGGTTTTCTGTAAGCACATGATCTAGGGGGGCTAGGAGTCACCTTCTGGCTGTACTTCGCATTTTTGCTCAATTTAAATGGCAATACCTGTTGCTACAAATTGCCCCCCACATCGGATTTATGTTTCTTTACATTCTGAACAACTTTGTCCACTCAAACAAGACCTGTAAATCAAATCCTGAGGCAGTACAGCTCATTCTTCCTGCTAATTTCGCATTTTGGAGACTGTAGCTTGTCCATCAAATATGCTAGCTATATACTGTCAATTGTATCTCATGTAATTTCGCATTCTGAACACTTTTCTACCCTCAAGCAAGTCATGAAAATCAAATCCTGAGTCACTAACCCTGTATTTGCTGTTTAAGTTCGCATTTTTCCAGCTTTTGACTGTCTTAAAATGGCCCTAACTACTTCGGAGCTTTTGCATCTTATGCTTTTTATTATTCTGAACAACATTCCTCTATATACCTAAGCAATTGGAGCAGGTTCTGACCATGTTTCATTACAAAAAGTGTCATTAGAGCGGAATTTGAAGTCCCTAATGTGGGCTACTGACTGTGAGAAACTAATTTAGTAGTGAGGTCGGAGTTGTGATGTATTGTAACTGTGAGAAAATGCGAACACTCAGCTGCCTGAATAGGCAGGTCAGGGGAAAGAGGGAACAGGGGCACATTAAATAAAACACAAAGATAATTCCACAGCTTCCTCAGATGGTGGCGCAACTCGGCGCAACAACGACCCAGTCCTGGGGAATATATATGGGGAGGTTTGGGGAGCTGTTGCGCCGAGTTGCGCCACTGTTTGAAGTGGCTGGGGCCAGTATGGTAGTTTTGCAGGTAGTAAACGTGCTGCTGGATGATGAGGAAGCGGCGCAACACGGCGCAACAAGTTGTCCCATATACCTTGAGGGTATACCTAGAGATGGGTACTTGTTGCGCCGAGTCGCGCCAACATCCTGGCCGTTGGCACCCTCTTCTCCTCGTACCGAAACGGTATTTGAGCTACAGCACAAGGAGGAGGGCAGCTATCTCCGTAGGAATTTTATCAGTATACTCTCCTAACATGCCCGGACATATTTCGTCACCTAACCCTGGGTCGGGGAGCGACGGTTGCTTCGCTGCGCTCAGCGAGATTCTCGACGAAGAAGGGGGCACTGGAGCGTGGGGAAGCGGCGCAACTCGGCGCGACAAGGTGATTCTTCATCAGAACACCCTAACGGAGGTGTGTGAAGTTGTTGCGCCGCGAACGGAGAAGGTCGACCGATTACACCCTGTAATCCGTCGGATAATATAGATAGGCCCTCTGAGCGAATTTTGTTGTTCTTTGCCTGTGGGAATGTCCCCTAGCTCCCCTGGGTCATGTGCTTACAGAATACTTCAGAGGTTTTCTGTAAGCACATGATCTAGGGGGGCTAGGAGTCACCTTCTGGCTGTACTTCGCATTTTTGCTCAATTTAAATGGCAATACCTGTTGCTACAAATTGCCCCCCACATCGGATTTATGTTTCTTTACATTCTGAACAACTTTGTCCACTCAAACAAGACCTGTAAATCAAATCCTGAGGCAGTACAGCTCATTCTTCCTGCTAATTTCGCATTTTGGAGACTGTAGCTTGTCCATCAAATATGCTAGCTATATACTGTCAATTGTATCTCATGTAATTTCGCATTCTGAACACTTTTCTACCCTCAAGCAAGTCATGAAAATCAAATCCTGAGTCACTAACCCTGTATTTGCTGTTTAAGTTCGCATTTTTCCAGCTTTTGACTGTCTTAAAATGGCCCTAACTACTTCGGAGCTTTTGCATCTTATGCTTTTTATTATTCTGAACAACATTCCTCTATATACCTAAGCAATTGGAGCAGGTTCTGACCATGTTTCATTACAAAAAGTGTCATTAGAGCGGAATTTGAAGTCCCTAATGTGGGCTACTGACTGTGAGAAACTAATTTAGTAGTGAGGTCGGAGTTGTGATGTATTGTAACTGTGAGAAAATGCGAACACTCAGCTGCCTGAATAGGCAGGTCAGGGGAAAGAGGGAACAGGGGCACATTAAATAAAACACAAAGATAATTCCACAGCTTCCTCAGATGGTGGCGCAACTCGGCGCAACAACGACCCAGTCCTGGGGAATATATATGGGGAGGTTTGGGGAGCTGTTGCGCCGAGTTGCGCCACTGTTTGAAGTGGCTGGGGCCAGTATGGTAGTTTTGCAGGTAGTAAACGTGCTGCTGGATGATGAGGAAGCGGCGCAACACGGCGCAACAAGTTGTCCCATATACCTTGAGGGTATACCTAGAGATGGGTACTTGTTGCGCCGAGTCGCGCCAACATCCTGGCCGTTGGCACCCTCTTCTCCTCGTACCGAAACGGTATTTGAGCTACAGCACAAGGAGGAGGGCAGCTATCTCCGTAGGAATTTTATCAGTATACTCTCCTAACATGCCCGGACATATTTCGTCACCTAACCCTGGGTCGGGGAGCGACGGTTGCTTCGCTGCGCTCAGCGAGATTCTCGACGAAGAAGGGGGCACTGGAGCGTGGGGAAGCGGCGCAACTCGGCGCGACAAGGTGATTCTTCATCAGAACACCCTAACGGAGGTGTGTGAAGTTGTTGCGCCGCGAACGGAGAAGGTCGACCGATTACACCCTGTAATCCGTCGGATAATATAGATAGGGGACTTCGTGGAGCGAGCATGAGGAGTGACAGGGGAGAGGGACCTTCGAGGTTGGGTCCTACCATCGCCAACGCACAGAGGCAACGCCCTCAGCGCCAGAGTCTTGACAAGGGCAAAGGAAAGGCGCAGGGAGGAGGAAGGCGGCCTTGGCCCAAGGACAAGCCCTTCACTCTCGAAGCACTCGCAGCCTTTGCGGAAAGCACGGACGAGGAGGGCGTAGGCGCACCCGCTAGCAAACCAGCGGCGACTGGCCCCCAAGCACCGACTGGGCCCTACGTTCTGTCTATGGACAACATTCCGACTTTCAATACAGACAGCGAAGATGACCCTTTCGCCGAAGAGGCCAAGGAAGTCGCTGCGAAAATGGCGAACCCTGTCAATGCCCATCGTCTTGGACCTCTTCCAGACTTTGATACAGACAGCGAAGATGACCCCTTCGCCGAAGAGGCCAAGAAAGTCGCTGCGAGAATGGCAGCGAATCCCGTTAAAAAGAAAGGTCGCGGTAAAGGAAAAGCTCAACCTGTCGCACGCAAACGCGCCGCTAAATCCAAAGTCTTGAAACGAAAGGCGAACGTTGAAGAATCAGACGAGGATGAAGGAAGTAAGGAGGACGGAGAGGGCGCCGATGACCGAGATAAGCCACAGAGAAAGCGTACTAGAATCTAGTACCCTTTGCAAAGTAGGACTGGAGGTCAATACGTAGTGTTTGCTAGCGAATGAGAACTTACCTTGGATGCGCGTTGCTCGTAAGTAGGAATGGGCGTCCGGGAGGCCCCTGTAGAGGCGAGGTCGAGTCGAGTGTTGGCGTAGCCAGACGAGCGCAAGATGGGCGTCCAGGAAGGCGAAGGGCGTGATTACGTTGACAAATGGCAGCTTCGCCTGCGTTGTCAGAGCTGCCGGCCAGGACGCCCGTTGAGTGGAAGGCTGTAGTTTGTGGGTGCGTAAGGATAAGGGGAGCGCACTTAAGTCGCGTGAGGGAGGAGATGGAAGCGCAGGTTGGACGGCCAAGCGGCCCATCTTGTGCAGCGCAGGTGACAGATGGCAGAGGATTAGTACGAGGGCGGCCGCGCGCGGCGATGTGCGAGAAGAAGCGAAGCATGGGCAGCCAGGAGCGCCATATGGCAGATGGAGGAGATACGGCAGTGTGCGTCCCGTGGGCTGCCAGGCAGCCTATGCATGGGGCGGTCACACACGCAAGGCTGCACGAATCGGCCGCATTGTGCACTCACACAGCTGGGCGGCTTGGCAGCCCAGACTTTCGGAGGCTCGACTTCGAAGAGATCTTGATCGATGAGATCAATCAGCAGGTCAGGATCTTGCGAGGTACTCACCTGGGATTAGTGATGTCACGGAGGCATTGGCAGCGCGCCGGGAAGGTGAGTTCACGGGACGATGAAGTACAAGGGTCGAAGGGTGCCGACGGCGAGCCAATGTACACGATGGGCGGCCAAGGTTGAGTGAAGGGCGCACCCTCTACCACTGGGATCGCTGAATGGGAGGCCAGGAAGGCCGCGTAGTGGAGAGACGTGGGGATGTAGCACACCTAGCGTGGCCGGCCAGGAGGGCCGCGTAGTGGAGAGACGTGGGGATGTAGCACACCTAGCGTGGCCGGCCAGGAGGGCCGCGTAGTGGAGAGACGTGGGGATGTAGCACGCCTAACGTGGCCGGCCAGGAAGGCCGCGTAGTGGAGAGACGTGGGGATGTAGCACACCTAGCGTGGCCGGCGCAGAAGCCCGTGTATGCCACTTGAATAAACGAGATTAACGTAGCGAATTCGAACGTAAAATGGGTACAGCTTACCATGCAGTAGACGGGCGAATGCATCACTGAGAAAACGGCGTCCTGAGTACAAGACGGGCGGCCAGGCAGCCCGTGCGTGCAGCTGATGGTCACAAGTCAGGGTGAGCAACGTAAACGACCGAGCTTGAGACTTACCAAGCGCGCGCAGAGTCATCCTCCTCAAATGGGCGGCCAGGCAGGCGAGAAGAGGAGACGCCTCGCGATCTTCATCGATTTGATGGTTAGTCGATTGCAGCTTGGCGAGTGTGGTCATTACTCACTGATGTCTATTGATCTCGGGTGCGATTGCATCATATGGACGCTGGCAGCTCGCTACATTCGCCGCTGAGTGAGTGCGGAAGAGAAAGCAGCGGGACGCCGGCGTTGACGCCCATCGATTGTGCCGAGATATTGATCCGAGATTAGATGTGGGCAACGTCCGCTTATCAACCAATTGATACTCACCACCTATCAAGACACGATCCACCGGTTCACTTTCACCAAATTAACCAGCCGTTCCGCCAACATGGGCCGCCTGGATGCCCAACGATGATATCTATTTAACAGAAGTTGAGTGAGTCTCGATTCCTCACGACGATATGCCTAGCTCACGATACTCCGCAACATTTCTGGCTATGCTCACAACGAAGTTCCATCGCCCCGTCAAGGGAGCTGAAGCCTCATGCATGATTGAGGATAAGACCGTTCTCCGCCAGCTCGGACTCCCCACCCTGATGACCGACAAATTCAAGCCCCCCGACCTCTCGTTCACTCAGGTCCAACTGCTCAAGTTGTTCATCGAAGTGGTGATGAAGAGACCGGACAACGAGAAGATCAAATTCATCCTCCACGGCGAAGACTTCACGGCCGAACGCGAGGTCTACAGCACTTGGTTCCGCGACCGACTTGCGGGAAGGATCAACGCGCTGGTCGAAACAGCCATGCACGAATCTGGCTATCATCCTCAGGTCCTCCTGGCCACGCAGGAGTCGGACGATTTCCCGCTGACCAACTTGCTTGTGAGCACCTGCCTCGTCCCCGTCGCCATCGAAATGTTCGGGGATGTGGTCATGAGCGGCGACGTCCTCATTGACAACGCGATCGCGGGGAACTTCAAGACCTTGCTGGTCCACAATGTCTCACGTATGTCCAAGGCGCATGTGCGAGCGAAGGCCACGATCGATAAGAAGGTCGAGGTGATGCATAAGGCGCTGAAAGGTAAGTCCCGGAGAACGTCTAGCGCGTCGATGACACTGATCTACCGTCGCAGCTGTTGACGAAGCGGGGGAACAGGGAGCCTCGCTGGCATCGATTCGTGCTGCGATGCAAGCGAGTAAAGACGTTGAACGCCTGGCCGCCTGGTATCCAAACATGCAGCTAGAGGCGGAGGAGAACATCGTCAGGCTCAAGGAGGCGGTTCGTAGCGCCTTGAAGCGCCCCAAGAACGACTTCGACGCTCCTGTTCGTTCGAGAAAGCCCAAGGCCAACCAAAAGAGTGAGTGCGAGGGATACTCAAGCTAAGGCAACGTACTTACCAGAGAATAGTGGAAGTCGCTCGCACGAAGGGCCGCAAGATCATGATCTCGCAAGCGGAGATGGCAAACGAGTTGGAAGTTGCCCGGACGATGCAGGCCATCGCGACTCACCTCGAGCACTCGGGCGACATTGAGAATTGTCCAACTGAGGCCGAACGCCACGCATATGTCAAATTCTTGGAGGAGGGGGACTTGGGAGTCGAAGTAATGTCGAAGAAGTCGTTCGAGGTACTGGCCGCCCTTCTCAGCTTCCCCGGAGGCCGCCCCGGCAACTGGAACGCCTACGTGCGCGAGGACGGCGTTACGGCGTGGCACCTCGGGCTGACACCCTCGAATCCCTCCGTAACTCGACGAGGGCCTTCTCAAACTGACGTCGAAATCACGCTGGACATGTTTGCGACGGGAGGACCTGGGTTCAAGCCCATAAGTCTGCTATGGCACCAGCTCGTAGGCGTCGCGTCGATCCTTTCGACGATGTTTTTCGGGGAGAGAGTCACCTACGCGCCAATGCCTGGCGTCCTCCTTGCAGACGGAGTGGGCGTTGGCAAAACGGCGCAAGTTATGGCGACGATCGCCTTTCTTCAGCAAGTTGAGCTCATCGAGACGGTGGATGAGGTGAGGGATAGAGTGGGTCGCCCGCCTCTAATACGTGAGCTCACTTTCTCAATCGTTCGAACGTCTCAATGAACCTCAGCTCTTCAGGGAATATGCCCTGGTTCATGGGGATAACGGATAGCGTGCCGAACGAGCCCCACCTCATCGTCGTTCCGTTATCCCTCGTCGCGCAGTGGGCAGACGAACTGTACCGCTTCTTTTCGAGAGGCGCAATCGATATATTCCAGCTCCCCACCTCGTTCGCGGCCCTCGAGACGTTCTTCTCAGACCCTGAGGGTGCATGGCAGCAATCGAAGCAGAAAATGGTCAATCGTGTTGTCATTTGCGCTCATTCGGTCAGTGAGTCACGTTCGAGCGTCAGAGCTGCTACTGATAAGCTACGTAGACGTTTCAGATGATGGCAGGCGAGGTATTCAACATGAAGAAAGCCAAGGGGGCTTACCTTGACTGTCAGCGCCAGTTCCTCTCAGAGGACGTCAACAAACTCATTTTCGGCGTACAATGGTGCACCGCGTGGATCGACGAGGCCCATCTATTTCGCGGCCCAACTCGCGGGCTTTTTGGGGCTTGCCAGCTGCACCAATGCGCCCGCGTTACGCACGTCCTCACGGCCACTCCCCTCTTCACCAAGATCCAGGATATAATCAACATGGGTCGCATCTGCAACCACGATGAATTCGTGCTCTCGAAAGGCCAACTCCTCGAACGGGAGTTCAATCGCAATATCAGGGCCGCCAAACGGGAGATGAAGGACCAGGAGCCAGACGCGGGCCAGAGCATAGGAGTGAGGATGCTATACGGCGAGGAGGTCGAAGACGACGACGGCGGAATCGCGGTACGATCCGCCCAGTACGGCGCAGTGAAGGTGGTCCAGGGGAAGTTCATGCCGAACCTGATACGACGGACGTTGATGTCGGTGGACTTGGACGGAAAGCCTCTCAACACGAAGATGCCTCCGATCACGGAGCACACGCTAACGTTCAAGCTGAGCGACCGTGAAATGGTGAACCTAGGACTCCTTGTGGACGAGTTGGAGTCGGCGGAGAGCGGAGTGCCCGCCATCTTCAGTCGCGAGGTACGTACTGTGACCTTCTCAGCAGCCCGCGTTGACGAGAGCCTCCTGTAGAGTTTCTTTCTCCCATATCGATGCGGCATTGGGTTCTGGAAGGCCACCAACGAAGACTGGCCGGTGTTTGACTTGGCAGGCAACTCGAAACTAGGCCATTACGACGACATATCTAGCACGAAACTCGACCTGATCGCGCGCATCGTGCTGCATCTACTCAGCCACGACCACATCGAGCACCCCACATTAGTCGACGGCCAAGTCGTATTCCCAGCGCCCCCACCACTCGTTTTCGGCCAACGCGCTCCTCAAAAGCGCAAAATCCTCATCTATCACGAATTCAGCATGATGGCGACGACGATCGAGACGGTAAGTCCTCCGAGGGGGGTCAGTTCAGCGACTAACAGGCGTTAGCAGGTATTCCGAATGAAGGGCTTTGGAGTCCTTGTACTCAACGGCCTCTTGAAGAAGGACGAACGCGAGCGAGTCATCCAGAGTTTCGTGCACTCTGACGCACCCGAGCATCGCGTGCTCCTCTTCTCGTCCGTTGGTGCCGTCGGGCTCAACTTAACATGCGCAGACACTGTAATCATGCTCGTAAGCAACCTTTACTATAATTCGCGAACGTTCAACTAACTAATCTACTTAGGATACGATCTGGTCGCAGGTGGGGACAGAGCAGATCATTGGGCGATCTGCGCGTCTCACGCAAGAGAACGCTGTCCACGTCTACCACCTGCTCGCGCTTGGAACGACGGACGTCATCATGGCGCGCATGGCCCGCCAGAAGGGCGAAATGCTCAAGACTCTGCTCTCGAAGGAGAAGAACGAGAAACTCGAGGCGGTCTTCTACGGCAGGTCAAACAAGAACGCGGAGCAGGACAGTGAGCCAGAGGACGATGACGACGACAGCGGGAAGAAGAAGAAGGCGAAGCCACCGCCAAAGACGCGCACTGCGAGGGGTGCTGCGAAGAATGCGGCCTTGAAGTCGATATCGAGATCGGTTACGCCCTCGACCTCACGGGCTTCCCAGACGCCCGGCGTGGAGACGGAGGGAGACGCTATTGGGAGAGAAGCGCCAGTCGTAAACGATGAAAGCCGTGACGACGCAGCTGAGGCGGGTAAGGGCAAATCCAAGGCGAAAGCAAAGCCACCCGCAAAGCCTAAGGCGGCTGCAAAGCCACGACCCAAACCCAAGGCCAAAGGGAGGGTGAAAAGCGCAGCAGAGGTCAACGACGACGACGACGCTGGACCATCCGAGCCGCCCACTGCAGAGGGGAGTGTGCCAAACGATCCCAAAGACGCTGCTGGACCATCCCGGCCGCCCACCGTTGGAGCGAGCACGCCCAACGAGATGGGGAACACTGCTGGGCCTTCGCGGCCGCCCACTGCTGGGGCGAGCACTCCCAACGAGCCCAGCCACGCAGCTGGGCCTTCCTGGCCGCCCGCGGTTGGAGGGGGCATTCCAAACCAGCCCAGCTCGCATTCGTCGACAGCCCAATCGTCTGGGAGCATTGCGCGGCCTTCTGGGCAGCCCGCAGTGGCGACAGGGGCGATGGACATAGATCCACCCGCTGGGCAGACAACAACGGATGACGCAGGCGCAGCGCCACCTTCCCAGCAGGCCGTGTTGCTGATGGGGCCAGGGAACGCAGGGCCCACTGCTGGAATGCAGGGAAGATCGCCGGCGGGATGGATTGCGACACAGCCTGCAACACAGAGGACGCCACTGGTGTCGCCATCGCAAAGGGAGTTCGTGGAGATCGAGGACGCGCTTCGACGGCCTTCCTCGCCGCCCACGGGTACGGAGGACGCGCCAATGGACATAGACGACTGGGAGGAACCCAAGAGCCGCAAGCGTTCAAGCAAGTCGAAACGTTCGAAGGCCAGACATGTCGACTCTCCTGGCTTTCGTCCCCCTTGGACGCAGGCAGACCCGACGACGCCACCACGGGCTGGATCTAAGCATAAACCACACTCGTCGCCAGAGAAATCGCCACGAACTGAGAAGAGGCAGGCAAAGATGGCGCGAAGAGATGCAGAGAGGCGTCGACTCCCGGGGACTGACTCTGAGGACGACCTCGACATCGGGGCGATTGCAAGGATCAAGCAAGAGGGGGAACCGTCGCGTGTTTCTTCGGTCGACAAACAGAGCGAAACCCGCGGGCCTCGAGCGCATAGACGTCCCACAGCAGTCCCAGATGACGGCGAAGACTTCACGTCGCTGATAGCCGACTTGTCAGACTTGTCTGGCTCAGACCAACAGTCGTCGTCAGATGAGGACCCCCTTGCGGCGAAACGAGTCCATATGTCACAGTCGGCGACGGCCCAACCCCGGGAACATGTCCCCAAGGTCAATCTCCCCCCTCCTCGTCCTCCTCGTGGCCGTGGAGGCGGTGGTCGCGCTCGTGGTCGCAAGTAGGTCGTTTCGCATATCGTATACATTCGTACTTTTATATACATACTCTCGCGTACATTTTTTTACTTTACTTTTTACTGTTTTCACATATCTATGATTTCGTCTACATACTCGTGTGGGTGTCCCGCCGTGAGTGTCGTATGTAAGTATGTACTGACATGCGTACATGCTGCCATTGTCAACGCAGCTGGCGTGGGTGACTGCCATACGTTCGCAAAGTATGGCGCGGGGTTCCTGGCCGCCCGCGTTGACGAGGAATCCCGCGTATCGTCTACGTGCATGTGTGGGCGTCCCAGCAGCCCACCATGAGTGTGCTACATATTGAACACGTACTGACGTACGTACCTTGACAGGTCCCATTAACACGGGCCTCTTGGCCGCCCATGCTCGCGCAGTCGACCGCCCCAGTACTCCCCCTACCCGCAAGTGACAGACCAGTCCCAGTATAAGCATGGGCTTCCTGGAAGGCCACGGTGAGTGTAGGACCAACAGAATACGTACTGACTTACTCATGCTTGACTAACAGGTGTAGACTCCAACAGCACGGGCTTCCTGGCAGCCCGTGCTGATGTACACGTATTCTCTGTGGGCCCACTGCGCGTGTGGCATTCCTGGAAGGCCATGGTGAGTGTAGCACCATATGTACGTACTCACTTACCTGTTCTTGACTAATAGGTGTTGACTCTGATAGCGCGGGCTTCCTGGCCGCCCGCACTGATGGAGGTGAGTCCCCTGGCGTCGTTCTGACTCCCCTTCGTGAGCGTGGCCATCCAGGCAGCCCATGCTTGTACTGTGACTAGTTCATTACTCCCAAACAAGTGTGGGCTGCCTGGATGGCCGTGCTGTGTCACCTATGACGCGCGGGGGCGGCTACGCCCCATACATGTACCAGCAAGCTCATCACGGTCGCCGTGGGCTTCCTGGCAGCCCGCGCTGATGTACGTGAGTCCTCTGTTGGCCCACTGTGTGCGTGGCATTCCTAGAAGCCCACGGTGAGTGTGATCAGTTACTAACTTACTTTCTTTTGACTAATAGACCTTGACTCCGACAGCGTGGGCTTCCTAGCAGCCCACACTGATGGAGGTAAGTCCCTCATGTTTGTCTATGTGTATGGCCGTCGTTCTGACTCCCTCTCGTGAGTGTGGCCTTCCAGGAAGCCCGCGCTTGTACTGGGACTGCTCTATCACTCCCAAGCAAGCATGGGCTGCCTGGATGGCCACGGTGTGTCACCTACGACCGTGTGGGCGGCTACGCGCCCCGTACATGCACCAGCAAGCTTGCGACTGTCGCTGTGGGCTGCCTGGCTGCCTGTGCATGGCTGTAGGTGCGTCAGCTCCTTCCACGCCGCCTGAAATATTTTTCTGACCGTTCGTTCTCACACGGCAGGCTTCCTGGAAGGCCAGACAGCCTCTGGGGTGTTCAAAGAATCACAGAGGGCCATCCAGCAGGCCTGCATCATTAGAATAAGTTAGGGTAAACTACAGTAAAGTTAGGGTAAACTACAGTAGACTTAGGGTAACAACAGTTGGGGTAGGAGGGATTTAGCGGGTAGGATTATCCTACGATTTCAAAATATGTCCTATAACCCGTTGGAAAAGCTACGGTGAGTGAGACACCTCTGAGTTGCTATCTTTTGTTCACGCATTATTTTCTCAGTGCTGGCGATGGGGACAATCAACGAACGGCGTCCATGATATCCAATCAGGAGGTGTTCGACATGTTGGATAGCAATGTCCCATTCTGGTTGGGTTCCCATGGCTTTGAGCGACTTCGTAGCTTCGCCACCAATATCCTCTACAAGTTTATCACGAGGCAGGAAGAAGATTGGAAGAAGGTTGGTGCGGGGGAAAGGAACCTTTGGTCCGACCTTCGGCTTTTTGCTAGGCTGGATATTGGTGTCTTCAGGACTGAAAATGGCCAATACTCGTTCTGGGTGAGCGAGATAGAGCCATGGATGGGTGCCTGCTTATTCACAAACACTGTGAACGATAAGAGCGATGTCTTGTATAGTACGGTGACGGCTGTATTAGAAGAACATGTCTTGCTTTGACAATTATAGCTTTATATTTTGTACTTTGTTCTTTATATTCATGCCTCTGAGCAGATTTGGCTGTTTCTTGCCTGCGCCAGGACGCAGTGGATAGGCTCCGGTTTTCCGGAGTCATTAGGCGCCCAGATTGACGGTCAACGGGCGCTTATTTGCTCGGGAATTCCGGTGCAACTGAGCAAGTGATCTCAGGGGTCGGTTCAGGGAAATATGCGCAGAATATGTTGCTGAATACATTCATTTTAATGGAGAGGAACCTCAGACAATGGAGAATGCGTGAGAACCTTTGACGGTCATCGGCGCTTACTTGACGGTCATCGGCGCTTACTTGACGGTCAGGCTGACGGTCATGACGGTCATGACGGTCAACTTGACGGTCAACTTGCCGGTCATGGAGAGTCACAACAGTCACTGGAGGAGTACTCACCAGTGTGCAGCGTGGTAGACACAGCCTGCGATGTCCTTCAGATGTCCCTAGCATGGCGTGGGTCATAACTGTCACTGACCGTCAATCAAGCGCTCATGACGGTCATGACGGTCAGACACAATTTGTATGCCTCATTGCTCACAAACGGGACCGCCGAACACCGTCAGACTTTGTAGAGTACATTATTAGTATGTATACATGGGATATATGCAACAAGATTTGAAGAATTCCATACTTGCAAATTAGGTTTAACCTAATAAAGTGGCGTAAGATGGGAAATGGGATTGTACATCGCGCGGTTTGTTATGAAAGGTGGCGCTACTTCTCATAGCGTGATAGACACTCTACGAATTGTACACCCGGGCCCGATCCAATACCATCGCCACGACATCGTGTCGTACAGAGGCAGGTACGCCCGCTCAATGCCATCAACTGGTTTTCTAGAACGCAGCGCGTGGTGGAACCCATGCCTATTTATATGGGGTCGATACAGCGATCTGGACATCCAGCGTCTTGATGTATAAAAACCAGAGGACACCTACGAATACGACGATAATACCTTGCTTTTTTTTGTTAACCTCACGAAGACAGAGTACGTTCGGGGAGTTGACGGCGAGGGGCAGGAGGTTCTATATGCAGCTATCCCATTGTTAGCGTTCTGGGGAGATGACGAGTCGATGGAAGTGGGGTGGGCTGGCGATCGACTGACGGTCATCAGTCAGGACACATTCGAAAATCAATTACGGCGAGATTCAGACGAGATGTGGGTGGAAAAAGTGGGAAAGTGGGAGTTCGATTTGAGATATGATTAATCGTATCACCGCACCAACAAAACGAACCTGAGAGACTGTCATTCATAGCCTTCCTGCCTTCCTTGCCACGCAACATCGCTCGCTCCAAACTTCACCCATGTATGAATATGAATGTGCCCTTGCGAAGTTCGAACAAACCAACGCAGCGATGATAAATTATATCAAAAGTTTACCCTCATCACACCTGCCTTTCCATTTGTTGTATACGCTCGATATCGAAATTCAATTTTGTTACGGCTAGACGCGGCGGCTTTGTTTTTTTAGACTAGTGTCCCTGAGTTCCACCCCTATCCCAGGCTTGAAACTTGTTTTCTAGATCGTGCATCTCCTCCAGCTGCCAGAGTCGACTTACTGCCAAAGCCTACCATCCGAAACCACGATTTGCGGAGGAAGAAGACGCGGTATCATTCTTGGTCCCTCCTCCCACACAGCGCTTGTCCACTGCTTCGCATGGGCCATGACCAATCGAACCAGCGTGGCATCGACCCCCGTCTTCCCAAGCCATGCAACTTCCGCGACAGTCTTCAAACATGGCGCCTCCACAACAGCAATTCCTATATATCTATTCCGGGAAACTGTTTGATCCCATCAGCCGCACCATCCAACCCAAGAGGCTGATCAAAGTCAATGTATGCACGGGAAGGATCCAGGAAGTCACATCGTTCACCGAAATCGAGGTAGCCAAGAGTGGTGTTCGGGTATTGGATTGTAGGGAACTCACCATCGTCCCCGGGTTCGTCGATGTTCACGTACATTGTGAGTTTTCTAGCTTCTTATCGCTCAGGGCAAGTCGTCACATCGAGAGTTTAACAGTCTTCCTACACCCGTATTGTGAGACGTCCTGGGAAGACCAGCTAACGAAGGAATCGCTCGTCGAGCGGACGATCCGTGCGGCTAACCACGCGAAGAGCACGCTGATGGCTGGGTTCACCACCGTCCGGTAAGTTCGACTCCATCCCACTTCGTTCAGCCTTTTATTCGTGCTTCCGGATTTCTTTGAAAATCGACCTTCTCAGTGATCTGGGGACAGAGGGCGCTGGGGACGCCGATATCGCGTTACGCAAGTGCATAAAGCAGGGGCTTATCCCCGGACCTCGGTACTACTGCGCCAATAGAGCAATCGTGTCTACTGGGAGCTACGGTTCATCGAGTCCCATCAATATCAACGCATACTTGCATACTAACGGAATCTTCTGACTAGGCCCCAAAAGCTCCGTACACATAAACAAAGAAGGCATTGACGGCGTTACGGGAGGAGAGGCTGCTGATGGGGTTGACGAATGTACGAAGGTGACTCGTAGGCAAATTGGTGCTGGAGCGGATTGGATAAAGGTGCGTTTCACGCGCGCCGCGTCTCGCTCTTCAACTCATGACGATTCCTATGCACATAGATATACGCTAGTATGTCACTGTCGTCGCTCAGAATAGGATCATACTCACGAACTACTAACAGATTATCGTGTCCTATCTCGCTTGTCGGCGTCATCGTCGACCTCTCTCGCAAAGCTCTCCGTCCCGACGTTCTCGACATCTGAAATGGAAGCAATCATCTCTACAGCCCACGGCGTCGTTTCGCCGATCAGCAATAAACCTGCCATCCGCGTCGCAGCCCACGCCACGAATTACGCGACCGTCAAGACTCTCCTCGAATTAGGAGTCGACTCCATCGAACACGGGACGGATATGTTCGACTTTCCTCAACGACTACCACCAGCGCCCCAAACGAGCGGTGAAACCAAAGTCGAAACCATCGCCCATCTCTTCCAGGAAAGCGGGGCCACGTGGGTTCCAACTCTAGCAGCCTACTACACCCTGGCTGGAGGTCATAGTAGCCGAGCCGGCGAGCTCGACGCGTGGGCGCGAGGAGAGCGGACGTTCCGCGCAGCGTTGCCCTACATCTCAAGCGATCGGTCGGCTTGTACGCCTCGTATCCGGGTAGCAGTTGGCGGAGACACCGGCGTATTTGCGCACGGTAACAATGCGTTGGAGATGCAGCTTATGGTCCAGCTCGGGGCGCGTTGGCGCGACGTCCTTAGCTGGGCGACTGTTGGCGGGTGGGGGTGCATCACGGGCCGCGATCCTGAGAAGGTGGAAGAAGATGAACCTGGCTTGTTTCAGGATGCGGACGAGGGGGATGACCCTCCGTTTGGTGCGTTGCGCCCTGGGTGGGCCGCTGATATTGTTGGGTTGGCGGGGGACTTAGAGGCGGCCGAGGACCCGATAGCCGAATTCGTACGAATGACCCATGAGGAGACGGGTATCAGGGTTGTCGTGAAAGCCGGTACGGTGCACAGATGGGAAGGAGCAGAACCGATTACAGTTCAGTAGTAGACCTTCAGAGACGCTATCGCTAGGCTGACTTTTGAGCGTGTTATGAATGTGCCTTTTCCAATAGCCCAAATGAGGGTTTCGATTTGGTTGTTATTTCCCGCGCCCTCCCGCCTTTTGCCATTTCGAGCACCCCTGCCGTTGAGCCGGGCTTTAATTGTTCCCACGATCATACGAAATTTCTTCAAGCCTGTTGTCAGAATCAGCAGTGACTTTCAAATCGTTCGGTGATGGCGAGGTCTGGACGGAATCCCATTCGACCACCATTACGAAAGTTTCCAGCGTCGACCAAGAAGTCCAACGAGGCCGGCTTCCTCAAGCGCAAGGCCAGAAAAAGCCAAGCCCCGTCGGAGGTTTACGAATACGAGCCATCCAAAACCCGGCGTGCTAAGGTCGACAGTGGATTCGACCGGGATGAACTGAAGAGCTTCGGTGGAGCGGTGAGCGATGGCGAAAGCGACGCAGGAGAACCCTCGAGAGCCCGATTAATCGGAGAGAATGAGGACAACGAGGCAATTGGGAGCGATGACGACGAGGAAATCGACAGTGACGCCGCTTTCGAAGAGAGCGATGAGGATCGGTTTGCTGGGTTCAAGTTTGCAAGTGAGGTACAGTACCTCTCAACGATTTTGTTAATCGCTTAACAGAGTTTGCAGCAAAAACCCCCCAAGAAGAAAAGTGGGGCAGCTCGGAGGGCGGGGAAGGTCCGCTTCGCTGGCGTGGATCTAAACGAGGACGACGTCGAGGCCTCGGCTCATGAGGGGACTTCCGAAGACGAAGAGGATGAAGAGGACGGCGATCCTTCGGACTTTATCGATATTCTGGATGTACTCGATGGCAAAGGCGAGGTGGATACAGGGAGCGACGCAGGGGACGAGGATCGGTCAGCTGGGCCGGCTGGCAGTCATTTAGCGACGCACCGACACTCGGCAGATGAGTCTGACTCGCCCGATTCCGCCTCCGAGGAAGAGGCTCGCTCCATGGACGACGATGCTCCGGGCATAACGATATCGGATGATGAAGACGACACGATGGATACTACTGAGGCGTTGGATAATCTCCAAAACTTCGTCACGAACCTGGGTGGTCTCGAATCGCCGAAAGGGATTGCGAAGCGGAAGGGTGATGCCTCGCAGAATCCCCAACCCGCGAAGAGACGACACATCATCAAGGAGCGTACAGAAGCCGGCGCCGAAAATGAGTTTGGTGCTCATACAAATGGTTAGTATCGATTTCTGTGATGTACGCGGCTGTTCTGACCTTTCTGAAGGTGCGAAACTGAACCTCGACGACCTCCTTGCACCCCTCGCCGAATCATCTTCGACATCGGCCCTAGCTTCACTTCAGAAATCGGTCAAAACCCTTCGACCTCCCTCGCCTTCCACCTCAAAAGGCAAGGGTAAGGCTGGCTCGGATGCGGCGTCTTCAAAGTCGAAGAAACCTCGGACGCTTGCTGCTCCTTTACCTCAACGCACCCAGGAGCGACTAGATCGAGAGGCTGCGTACGAACAAACCAAGACGGAAGTGGATAAGTGGAGCGACAGTATGAAGCGTATAAAAGACGTAAGTACCACACCCCGTCCGGGCTCCTCTATCGTTTCTGAATTAGTACGCTCCTCAGGCGGAACATCTGAGTTTCCCTCTGCAACCAGAGCCAAAGACTGCCACATCCAACCTCGAACTAGCGGCTCGCTTCAAACCGAAAACGGAGCTGGAATCGGGCATATCTAAACTTTTACAGAGTGCCCATCTGCGGGAAGAAGACATTGCTGAGACGGAGGATAGTGCACTGCAGGCTCAACAGCTCACCGTCGAGGAGGTCGCCGCGCGACGTGCAGAACTGCGCAAGATGCGTGAACTGATGTACCGCGCCGAGGTTCGAGCACATCGCGTCAAGAAAATCAAAAGCAAGACATACCGGAGACTTCGGCGCAAGGAGAAGGAAAAGCTGGACGGAGCTACGGGGGATGATGATATGGACGAAGAAGAGATGCGGCTGCGCAAGGAAGTTGACCGAGCAAGGGAGAGAGCGACGCTTCGACATAAGAATACGGGGAAGTGGGCGAAGTCGATGTCGGGAAAGCAAGGTCTTGGCGAAGACGAACGGCGAGCAATCGAGGAGATGCTGGATAGAGGGGAGAAATTGAAGCGCAAGATTCAAGGGCAGGATAGTGATAGCGAGCAGGACGACGAGAGCGACGAAGACGAGGAAGACGCTGACGAAGATACGATAAAGGCCAGAGCCTTTGAGGAGTTGGCTCGTTTACGGGACGATCATTCGGCCCCCGCGGGCAAAGCGAGAGGCGTCTTCGAGATGAAGTTCATGAAAGATGCGATGGCCCGAGATTCGGCGAAGGCAGATCGGGAAAGGGACGATTTCATTCGAGAACTTGGGGGAAACGCTGGCTTGGAGGATCACAGTGGTGATAACGACACCACACCCGTGGGCGATGAAGACGTCACGGTTCAGCGCCTTGGTGGTCGCGTCATCTACCAACCTGGCGCATTACCTGTACGAACAAATTCACGGATAGTGAGTATGTTCCCTTCACCGACGACCGTCACTTACCTCGAGTAGGTTCCGCTGTCGACGGCCTCAGATACCTCCAGCGTCACCCTGAAATCGACCGATCTCGTTACTCCGTCACCTATTGAGGCGCGGCAGACCATCCCGAGCCGCATGGAGGCATCTACTAGGCAATCCAACGACGATTCGTCGTCCTCTAACCCTTGGCTTGCGTCTCGCGACGAGCCAAGACCCCATGTTACCCGTAAAAAGAACGAGGTCATCGTGTCGAAGACCAGCGGAGCGGCCGACAAATCCAAGAATCGACTAAAGAAGCAATCCAAGAAGCTCGACGAAGAGCGCACTAAGGCGCGAGATGATGCCGAGATCGAAATATCCATGGACAACGTCCTCAAACCTACTGAACCTCGTGCTGAGCCTGCGTCCTTGATAGCTCCTATCATATCAGAGGACGACGATTCGGATGCCAATAGCGAAGTCGAGGAGCAAGAAAAAATGATTTCGGCTAAGCAGAACGGGGGAAAGAATGGCCAAATTGCCTTTCAACAACGCGACTTGGTGGCGTTGGCTTTCGCTGGAGACAACGTTGTTCAGGTATACTCGCAGTCGCTGCCGTGGTGCCATTTGCTAAAGCCCAATCATCACTATAGCAATTCGAAGAAGTCAAACGCCGCGAAATGGCTGAAGACGCCCCTCAGGAAGTCGACACTACGCTTCCTGGCTGGGTAAGCTCGCACCCGTCAGCGCATCTTAATCAATTTCCCTGATCTATCTGTTACAGGGTTCTTGGGGAGGAACTGGTGCTCGCAAACAGCCCCCGAAGCCTCATCTTATCAAAAAGGTAGCGGGTGTCGACCCCGGAACCCGAGCAGACTATGGCAAGGCGCACGTCATTATATCTGAGAAACGAGACAAGAAGGCCGCGAAATATCTGGTCAAAGATCTGCCTTATCCGTATACTAGCAAGGCCCAGTTCGAGCGAAGTATGGAGACTCCTTTAGGAACGGAGTGGAATACGAGGCTTGGGTTCCAGAAGGGGACTCTACCGAAAATTGTCAAAAAGGTGATTGTCTTTTTCTCCGTCAGTGAAAGTGTGCTGACGTTGTCGTGGTCAGATGGGCACGGTCATCAATCCGCTGGAGAAGCTGTTCTAATTTATGTGCATCCGACGAAATGTATTCCGGCACTGATGTATTTACTCTTCTAAGGGACGTGCAAGTTCAGACAGTCATATCGTTCACATGTACATCATTCCACAAACACATTCGCATACTGAACGCAAAATCACCTTACTACCCAACTACTCGATTGCTGCTTCTACTGGATCCAGACTGTCTTTGGAGGTCTTTCGGTAAGGGAATTGAGATCAGGAATTCTGTCGAAGACAGCAGACGAGAGCCGGTAGTATCGAGGCGGGAATTTAGTAGCCCCTTCACGAAGCAAAATGGCGAAGGGGGCATTGTTGCTAAATCCGCCAACGACTGCAACTTTCCATCTTGCTGTCACCCTGTCCGATGCAGGGGGGTCGCCTCGCCAGCGAAGATTCACCTTGGTATCACCCTTCTTGAATACGGTGAGCACATAAGTGTGCCTCTCCGAATTAGTGGAAACGTTCACGAACTTGACATCATGAAGAGCCACCATGATGCGCAGCCCGCAGTTGGTCAAGGTGAATGAAGGATCCAGATTTCGTGCGGAGTGGGCGCTGAAGAGACAATTAGAGGATAAGGAACGGGGGTCTCCTGGGTGCGCTTTGGCGTCATAGAAGGCGGAAGGGCCATCTGCGAACATCGTATTCCACCGAGAGCGGCTCCCATTCCAGAGAAACAGGCTCCTGTCTTCAACGTGATGGGAACACTCGACTTGGATGCGATAGAATGCGCGCTCTTCGCCTTCGCCATACGCAATGGGGATCTGTATGTCCAGTAGGCCAAGAAGACAGTAGGACATGTCTTCGGCGCGAGATGTCGTTCTCTCAGAAAGCCATTGAAAAACGTCGCGAGCATTGGCAGGGCTAGGATCGTAACTTTCTAAGAACTGGTATTCAATTTCTGAATTGTGGCGAGGTCAGTGACGTGCAAAGGACAAAGAACCAGATTCTTACTTGTGATCTTTACTAGCCTCCTCAGCACGTTGGGGGTCAGCCTCTCTGAGAGTGTCATCTCTTCCTTCGGTGGAAGCGCATCATCACCATCATCCGTATCGTGATTAGCGTCGTCGTCCGATTCCGAATCCCCGTCATCGGTGTCTTCGTCGTCTTTTTCTTCGCCGTCCGAAGCAGTATCCACGTCGAAATAGCTCCCCTTGCGCTGAGGACCCTCAGAAGATGCATCGTCGTGCGCTGTACGATTATCTCGGACAACGTCGTAGCGCCTGTGAAGGTAGAGCTTCGACCAATCTTTGCAAAAGAATTTGAGCCTTTTCGGCGCCAGCAATTCCTGCAGCGTCCACCCCCTCTTGAACCAGGGGTCGCCTTCCAGAACACCAGGGCGGCTAGCGCTAAGATAGACGATGCATAATTTGGCATTCCTATACCAATTATACATCGACCTGATGGCCTCGTCGAGATCGGTGCTGCTCTTCTTGTCGATGCACACGGTATCGGCCCACGCGTAGAGACACCTGTATTCACCCCTCCCCGCCTCCTCGCAGAACCTGATAAACTTCACAAAACCCCATTTCTTCTTCACCTTATCAGAATCTCGATGCTTCAGGTCGCCGAATTTCAATTCGTCGTCTTCCCACCTGTGTGAGAGGATGGCGTAGGCGGAGCCAGCACGGATGCGGCTGCTGAGATATTTCGATTGCTTTTTAGCCAGCACGTCTATGCTCCGGTTGTCATTGGAGCTGGCCCTATGCCTGATCCGTTCCTCGAGGAAAAGAGTGATTCTGTCGACTAACTGTGTTCGAGAAACGAGCACTTCATCCTTCATGTGGTAGAGATACATTGGGCAGCTATTGACGTGCTTCTGAATCGCAGGCAGAATCCTATGTAGCAAGTGTGTTCAGCGTGTTGACAGATGACGAGGCGCGGAAGGCGTACTATAGAGGGAACAAGAAACCAGATGTATACTCGTTCAGTCGTTTAAGTTGTATCTTAGTGAGGCGTCGAGCCTACCTCCTTTAAATAGATCGTTGATATTGGTGCACGAAGCGAGGAGCTTGGTAGTTACCTACCTATGTAATTCAGGGCCAATGAGCATGCCAATGGAGAGGCGAGGGTGAGCGCTCTAGTAGGACATGATTACGGGCAAATCCAAGTACCTTCTGATAGTACACCTGCGGGACACCAAATCAGGTCCGATTCGTGGGGTCTCTCTTGGTTAAGATGGCACGTACTGTATACTTAAGACTCTTTTTGCTCTAGGAAGAGAGCATGAGACGACGCTCTCAGCGTTAACGCGTCAGCAGATGAGCTGACCTTGATGATGGGGCTGGGCGGCAGACTCGACTCATCACTGCTCGTCTGAGGACTCGAAGGCCGGGCGCGCGCAGGCGCGGGGCTGCTTGATGCTGGACTGCTCGTGGCGGGGCTCGCTGGCCTGCGCCGCGGGAGATCAGGGCTGGACTCGGGGCTGGGTGGCCTGCGCCGTGTGCGCGCGGGTGCGGGGCTGCTCGACGCAGAGCTGCTGCTTGGGCTCGGCGTGCGCGTCCTGCGATGCCTATTCCTGCGGTGCGGCATTACTGGCAGTATTGAGAGGGAATCTACAGAGCTATCGATCAGAGTGTTCGAAGGAGATCGCGCAGGCTTTATAAATCAAGAATCGGGGGTCGATTCGCCGTGGTTCACAGGGTGATCGTTGTCACGCGGGACGTTATCAATCATCTCCAGAAACATATCGCGTGTTGGACGCGGATAGCGTCGTAGAGGCGCTGAGAATGGTTCATGGAACACCATGCTGCGATATCATTGACAGAGGACAGAAGTGCCAGTAACGCCATAAGGATAGCTCAGGGTGGACGATCATGGGACACGGCTCCTCCTCTCGAAAGCACACCGGAGCACGTCAAATGTCACGGAATATGAATGAAAGAAAGTGTCGTGGCATATCAGATTATCGTCGAGTGAATATCCATCGATGGGAGAGTCGGCGTATTCCGCACGAAAAACATCCTTCACGATATGGTGAAAGGCCTATCAAGGCATCGAAACTGTGGGGAATAGCCAATCGCAGGCTTCGCGGGGAATCTGGATGGCGTATAGGTGCACACGCACCAGGCATCCTGATCAGGCGCGCTATAGAGACCGTATTGCGGGGGAGGTGAATGGCGTACCTGCACTGCAAACCTGAACTGCCGGCCTGTGGCATGATGGTGATTGGTAGACGTTCGCAGAGAGCCTGAGTAGAACGTACGTCCTCATCATCGCCCCATGGCTGGTAACGATGCCGACACTCCGCTTGAACTAGTAAAACAGTTATTCTCAGTGAAGACATGGCAGTCGCTTCAAACAATGGATGTAAACCGTGGATTTCGTGGCAGAGATCGAAATCGCATCCCAATTTGGGGGTACCTCTACACGAGACATCATCGGAATCCACTCGGCAAAGTGGAGTGGGTAACAGTGCCTACTCCGTGAGCGCTGCTACTACCTCGATTCTGCCTGGATCAGCACGGCTCAATTGTTTCAAGTGTCTTTAGACTGATCCGCCGGCGGAGACAAACCCATGGTGAGGATCGCTGCTTCCCTGGATCTGAAGCGCTTCGTATGTAGCTGAGACCTGGGTTCCGATGATCTGTGGATGAAAATGATGAGTGAATCAAGTCTTCAATGAGATGGTAGCCGTTACGGTGGTTGCTATCCCCTTCACCATCTTTGAAAGCAGAATATGACCTACCACCTTGACCATTCAGTCACCATCTATCAAATGAGACTGCGAAACGGAGCACTAGCCCAATATATAAGATGACGGAAGATCTGAAACATACTTCTATCTTCGGTGCAGCAACCTGCATATAAATCCGGCCTGTGCCTCTCCGAGACATTGTAGCGCCTAGCACTGATCTTTTGAATTAGCAATCGGGAAACCACGGCATAGAACTTGCATTGAACGCTTGAACGTACCAGCCCCAAACTCAGTCGCTGCCGGGGTCTTGTGAAGAAAAACATCTCACGGCGAGTGCATAGTAGCGCGTAAATTGAAAATTCGCGCAGTGTTGCGATTAACTGATCGTGGGACGAACACCTGCCTGCGGAAATGTCGAGCCCCCTATCTACAGAAGTATATTTCTCTCGCAACACTGAATAGGTCCAAAACGACAGACCAGGACGAAGGGACCGAGCTTCACGGTTCCCCTTGAATAACGCTAGGACGCGTGTTTTCGCGCAACTAGGATACGCCCAGCCCTAGGCGCCATAGTTGCGAACCTCATTGTATTTCTGATTGGGACGCTGTTCGGGTGCGCAATCTCCCTCGATGCCGTGAATATACTGACATATATCTTAGGATGAAGTGAGACTGGAGTTGGCTGACTCGATGTGAAGAAGTGGATAAAGATAAACGACCATGTCCTCGTTGATCATGGTGAATACCCAGTGAGTCCGTTGCCCCTTCAAACCACTCTCTTCTCCAATATAATAATTGCTGGCAGGTATGAAAGATACTGTATACATCGCCTCATATGACGCCAAACGCCCTTCCACCCTTCGACAATAACAAGGGAGCGGAATATCTCGCGTTCTGCACTCACGAGCGACCTTCACACCGCCCTCGCGAGCTGGCTCAAAATCTCCTTGGCCTGCGCGATAGCAGGGACTATATCATACATCTCGCTTCGAACGGACTCTGAGTGAAGAGTGACGGGATCAGACCATACGTTGTGGTGGCGCTCACGAAGAACCCGTCGACGACGACGCAGCGCGTTTCATACGGGACCTCAAATTCAGAGACGCGCTGGAGGCCTCCTCAAGTACTCAGAGGCTGCGGCGGACGGGAGTCCTGCAGAGCCCCGGCCCCACGCGCAATACCAAAATCCATACCCTCTCCATTCTAAGATCCTTCTAGCGGTCTGCACGCCACGCGATAAAATACGCACGCAGCCTCCCGCGGCGATACCCAGGCAGGACGTACAGGCCCAGATTGCGTCCTATGGCCGGTACGTCCACCGTTCTGCGCACCGCTGGGATCATAATTTACGATGGACAGGAGCTGTCCTTTATCCTTTGATGGTGCAGCGAATGTCTCCGATCAGCGTATACACACAAAGAAGGGCGTCGCGAAAGTCTTAAACCTTCAAGAATCCCTCGCTGCAAGTGTTTCGACAGTGACTGGCGCAATTTGTACAACGATGGAAGGAGAACTTCGTTTGACGCTTGTCGAATGAAATACACCCTACGACGAAGTCTGTTCCATCTCGAGCTAGCACCACTGATCAGCGTAATACCATTCAGTCGCTGTTCTCTATATCCGTTGGAAACTAGATTCCTGGGCGCTGTTTTAGTTTTGGCTGGGGCGGCTGGGGCAGCGTTCCGCTTTGGCCTTCACCGAGCCCGAGTGCGAGCCCCGAGACTGCAGAGCGCGCCCTAGTAGAAGTGTAAATTATTTGAATCATCACCAAGAGGAAGCCCCTGTCGTACTTCAAAATCTAACGCACTTCTGCGCTTATTCTCTCGTATCCCACATCAGTTCGAAACCATGCCCCCAGAGCGCCACCACGGTTCGATTGGGATACAATATATCAGTAGCTATTAACAGTTATCTAGATAGCATAGGAATCGGATACCCAACTTTGGTGGCCTATGGTCTCACGGGCGCTTCGGAAGCTCTTCTCTTCTCGCTTTGATGTTGATGGCTTCATTTGGGAAGGACCGCCTCTGCTCCCTACTCGCAAGCCCTGATGTTGCAAGGCGATTGTGACCTCGGTGATACCAAGAATGAAGTTGAAGATGAAGACGAGGCCAGCGGCTCAGAAGTTGGTCAGTCTCTCGCCTTCACCAATTCCGCCTGATGGATCTCGTGGACGGCTTGCACTAATCCTCGACCTCAGAGATACCCAGGAACACGAACACGGCCGATGCTCGAAGAACGCCTCTCCCGTGGTTCCAGTTCTCCATCGTGCTGTTCCTGCAGCTGGCGGAACCGCTGACTTCGTCCATCATTTACCCATTCGTTCCGCAGGTGAGGCTTTCGACGCTTTCTGCCCTGATTTGAACCTAAGGCCATGGTGATTCTTCGCTCCCTTTGTTTTGCATTTGCAGCTGGTACGAGAAATCGGCGTCACGGGAGGGGATGAAGCGAAAGTGGGATACTACGTCGGTCTGCTCGTGCGTCTCTACACGTCCCACCGCATCGTACATAAATAAGTCTGCGCTTACACCTCATTTCATGGTGGCAGGAGTCTCTGTTCTTCGTCACAGAAGCCCTGACCGTCCTTCACTGGAGCCGCCTGTCCGACCGTATAGGTCGTAAACCCGTTCTGATTTTCGGGCTCCTGGGGATTTCGGTGTCGATGGCTTGCTTTGGGCTTTCGACGACCTTTTGGGGTCTTGTCGTCAGGTATGCGCTGCCGTGCAGCGTTTGCGTGCATCTTCAGCGCGAGGTGGGCTCATGCGATTTGTTTACAGCCGATGCTTGAATGGAGGATTGAGTGCGTAGTCACGTACGCCGCTATCATCGCATGATCTTGCTGACACTCTAGACGGCAGACGGAAATATCGGCGTCATGAAGAGGTGTGTCATGGTCAGCTTTTGATGACGATGGGTATAACTGAAGGTTGTGGCATTCCTAGCTTGATAGCAGAAATGACGGACGAGACGAATATCTCTCAGGTTGACATCTTATATCCTTCTTTCTTTATTTGAGCAACACTCACATGTGTGGTGGCAGGCGTTTGCGTTCATGCCTATCGCTTGGTCGACCGGAGGGACCATAGGGCCCGTTATTGGCGGTTCTCTGTCGCATCCAGTCGACCGCTTTCCACAACTCTTCAGACAGTCGCGATTCCTCAAAGATTATCCATATTTTCTCCCATGTGCGGTACCTGCTATATTCTGCCTATTCGCCTGTGTTGTGGCGTTTGTCTTCCTCAAGGAAACCGCCTATGTCGACCACCGGAAGCCTTGGCTTCGCCGTTTCCCAACGCGCTCTGTGAAACCCGACCACGAGTCGTCGCATTTTGATCCTCCCTCCGCAGCAGCAGCACCACCAGGCAAGGAACTCCTGCCTCTACGAAAGATTCTAACGCAGCGCGTGGTGATAGCTTCCGCCAACTATGCGATCCTCGCATTCCTCGACATATCCTTCCGCGCGATCCAGCCGCTGTTCCTTTCGACGCCCATCGCGCTCGGGGGTTTGGGCCTGCCTTCTCCCGCGATAGGGCGCATCCTTGCAGTGTTCGGCGTGCTGAATGGGCTTGTCCAGTTCTGTCTCTTCCCTGCCATGCACGACAGATGGGGGTCGAAGACAGTCTTCACCGGTGGGATCGTATCAGCCCTCCCGGCGTTCGCTTTGTTCCCGATCATCAACTCCGTCGCGCAAGACGAGGGCATCTCAAGGGGTGTGTGCTTCCTTGTGTGGCTGCAGATTGTTGCCTCTATCGGTGTCTGTCTGGCTTACGGTGAGTTCGAGTCGGGAGTTCGTATATGTATATGGGGGCCTGTCATCGCGGTTAGGCAAGGTCGTCTCAACGTTTTAGTAGGGGCGATTTATATCCTGGTCTCTGAGTCTGCCCCCGACTCCCGCTCCCTCGGTGCTGTCCACGGCGTGTCCCATATAGCCACCGGCGTTATGCGTGCTATAGGTACGCATCCCTTGCAATTCCGTCACACTACCAATATCAATCATCTGTATGCATGATATAGGACCGGCCGTCACGACGTCCCTCTTTTCAGCGTCCGTTGGCGCCCGAATTTTGGGAGGCTGGCTGGTTTATTACGTCCTGTGCGCGATCGTTGTGTTAGCTGTGGTCGCTGCAGGGCTGCTTCCGCGGGATGGGGCGGCTCTGCGTCGGCGTACAATATAGTTCGTGACATTACTCGTCAGTTGTTGCTTGATTACGGGAGAAATACAAGGTTGGTCGTGAAAAGCCCCTATTGGCCCCTGGGTCCGTGGAATACCGAACGGTCACTGCGTCTTGCGCTGTTTCCAGTCGAAAGCGTCCAGATTCTAAAACAACTGCCGTTAGTAGACGAGCGCCCAACGTCGCCTCTAACCGACAGCTTCGCTTGGCCTCCTTACAAACAGACCGGAGTAAGGGCGGTGCCAGCGCTATTTTAACTCCTCATGCGAGTCTTTTAAGACTTTACCGAGGATGTAGGACGGCTGTTCGCCTCTCCTCCCTACGCCTCTCGCACCGTTACCACTCATGACAGCCAGCCCCGCAGTCTCAGACGAAGAGACACCTCTCCTCAGCACTGAAAGCCCCAGTTTTCGCACGCCCGTGCCGTGGCGGCAGCTCTCCATCCTGCTGTTTCTGCAACTTGCGGAGCCCCTTTCGTCGCAGGTGATCTATCCATTTGCGCCCCAAGTACGTGACAATTTTCGAGCACTGCAGCGAAGAGTGGGCTCCGGGCTGATGCTAGGCATGGAATGGGCAGCTTATACGGGAGCTCGGCGTTACGCACGGTGATGAGGCGAAGGTCGGGTATTATGTGGGGTTGATCGTGAGTTGTCTGGTTTCTCTTGGTGGATGGATGGCTGAACGAATGACTGATTGTCTGAATGTGCGTAGGAATCGTTGTTTTTCGTGACGCAGGCTATCACCGTCCTGCACTGGAGCCGAATGTCAGATCGCATCGGACGCAAGCCGGTGATCTTGTGCGGTCTCATGGGCCTGTCTGCTTCGATGTATTCTTTCGGGCTCTCGCGGACGTTCTTGGGTCTGATCTTGAGGTACGAAATATCGAAATATCTCGAGCACCACGTGTCCTGCGTCTCACCCATGGAATAGTCGATGTCTCAATGGCGCGTTGAGTGAGTCCATGACCATCATCAGCTACAGCAGCACAGCATCGTGCTAATTGCCCAGAATCTCAGACGGCAATATCGGGGTCATGAAAAGGTGCGATACGACTCAACAGAATAGAACTTCCTACGAACTTCGCAGTTCATTCCACACCCAGCATGATGGCTGAAATGACGGATTCGTCGAATATCTCCCAGGTGTGTTTTCATTCATACACCTCATGTGCTGTAACAACATTGCAGAAATCGCGTAGGCGTATGCGTGGGTGCCCATCTCCTGGTCTACGGGGTGCACGCTAGCCCCGCTGATCGGCGGCTCCCTGTCGCACCCAGCAGAGCGCTTCCCGCGTCTCTTTGGGCGCTCCAGATTCCTCCGCGAGTACCCGTACTTCCTGCCCTGCGGGATCTCGGCGACGTTCGCCGTGCTCGCGTGGTTCGTGACGTACTTCTTCCTCAAAGAGACACTGGCCGTCAAGACCCCGCTCGCGCTCCCGGGATGGCTGCGGCGGCGCAAGGGGTGGACTTCTCCAGATCAGGGTGATGGCATTGCAGACGGCGCATCTGCATCTTCATCTGCGTCCTCAGACCCCTCTCAGTCCCCTGCTGCCGCGAAATCCATTGCAGGCCCTCTTCCGCTGCGCGCGCTCCTCACCACGCGCGTACTGACAGCAACAGCGAGCTACGCTGCCCTGGCCCTCGTCGACATCTCCTACCGCGCCATCCAGCCGCTCTTCCTCTCCACCCCGCTCGCACTCGGGGGCCTGGGCTGGCCGCCCGCCCGCATCGGGCGCCTCCTCGCGGCGTGGGGCATCCTCAACGGGCTCTTCACCGCGGGCTGCTTCGCGCGCATACACGCCCGCTGGGGCACGAAGCGCGTCTTCGTGTGGGGCCTCGCGTCCGCGATCCCGGTCTTTGCGCTGTTCCCGCTCATCAGCGGCGCCGCACGCAGGGCGGGGACGGGGACGGGCGGGCTGGTGCACGGGCTGGTGCTGCTGCAGGTCGTGGTGTCGCTGGGGCTGAGCTTGTCGTACGGTTCGTCCCGGCTGCGCGCCCAACTGGGTTCATGAGGTTCGTTGTCGCTTGCTTACGCGTGCTGTGTGCTTTAGGGGCGATATTTATCTTTATCTCGTCGGCGGCGCCCAGCCGGCAGTCACTCGGCGCGGTGAACGGGCTCTCGCAGGTGGTTGTGAGCATCATGCGGGCCGTAGGTGCGCAACTGCGTCGGGCGCAGGCCGTCAACTCGCTGCTGATCACGCTCGCTGCCTCTAGGTCCCGCCGCCGCTAACTCTCTCTTCTCGGTGTCCATCACGAGCGGGTGGTTTGGGGGGCAGCTTGTATATGTGATTCTGGTCGCGAGCACGGGAGTGGCCCTTCTTGTGTCTGCGATGCTTCCGCGGCACACGACGATGCCTAGCTAAGAGTATTATACGCCGTCTAGAGGCTACCCTCCTCCGAAATAGACGCAGTATTGCTGCAGCTGCTAGGTCCATGTGTAGTCGCGAGGATACAATCCACAACTAATCGAGAGTACCTGTGTGTGCGTGTGACGGAAGCGAGGGATACGCACCTGTGGCACATAATGCTGGTGGCTACACGGGACACATCATGGACAGCATCGAGGGAGCAGGGTTGGGGGCAGGCTCGGAAACTAGGATGTCGATTGCATCTAAGGAACTTTCAAGCAGAGGTAGTCACGGTGGCCCTACACATCAAGCAGACAGATGCCAATAGATAGTGCCAGACGAGGAAAGAAGCCCGACTTCCCTCTTCTTGGCATCCGTCGGGGCACAGATGTGCTGGTCGGTCTATTATGCATTACATTCTACGAGCGATCATTGTGTTGGCCGCGCTAGTTGCTGGACTACTCCCTCTGGATGGGGCGCCGCGTCGGCCTATGTCATAGTTCGCGGCTCTTTTTCTTTTGCTTTTGAACTATACATATCATTATTAATCCCTCCGCAGTATTGAGGGAAAAACCAAGCTTCGTAGAGGAAAAGCCCCTGTGAGCCCCTGGATGACGTTTCACAAGAGTCCTGGCGCGTTTTTACCTTCGATCCATACGGAGTCATGCACAGGAAAAGTCTCTGGAAACCTTCTTGCGTCGCGATAACCCAAGTTCGGCGAGGGAAGAGCCCCTGAGAACCCCTGGAGTCACCCCGCTTCGCTTCGGGGAACAATAGTCGGGGTCAATAGTCGGGAGAACTCTTGTGGCGCCGGCGGTGGACTTGTACTTCAGTTGTACCATTTCCAGCAGATTCAAAGCGTCCAGAACACCACCCGCCACATGCCAAGACGTCGGTTCCGCTTCAAGAAACATCAAATACAGGCCACAACCGTTTATATCCACTATGGGCCGCAAAGTGGCCATTGTAAAAAGTCGTGTTCCGGCCCAAGCCACACACAATGGTAACCAAGCATCGACATCCGTCCGGCGCGTGGCGTCTATAATATATAAAGCCCCCAGTTCCCTTCACTCACCCTTCGAGACCAGTCACCACCATGTCGCTGTCGTCGTCTGCCGTTCCCTTCCCTACCTCTTCCACTTCTTCTTCAACTTCCACTTCTTCTAGCTCGTCTCGATCCTCATCCTTGCTGGCCAAGTGGAATCGGGATGCGCGTCTTTCCATCAGCAGCAAGTCCATTCCCAGCACCCAGATCGTCATTTCAGCTCCTCTCCCACTCGGCAGCGGCGTGCGACGCGAATCATTAATCCCACGGCCGCCCAGCAGCAGCAAGAAGCGCGCCCACAAGGAAATCGTCGCGAATGAGAACCTCGACGTCGACGACGAACGCGCGCGGGTCCGCCAGCGCACCACCTCCGAGGCGACCCTCACGCCCGGCAAACCAGACCACGCCTCGCCCCCAATCTCGACGCCTCTGCACACAGCGGAGGACGTCGAGCCAACGCGCGCCGTGGCACGTGATGGCGCGATTGCGATCGTCCAGGCGCGCCCGGGTCAGGCGAAGAAGACGCTGAAGGCCCTGCGAGACCGCCTCAGAATACACCCTACCCGGGGCCCCAAGACGGAGGATGCTGTGGCGCCCAGCGTGACCACCGGATCTCAGCCCGATATTTGTCCTCCCAGTCCCACCCCCAGGCAGGCGGACGGCACGCCTAGCAAGGCTTCCCGCTGCGAAGAGCTAGATCGCGTGCCGGTCCCACGTCCAGACGTCGCACGAAATGGCGATAAATGTAATGAGAACGGGGACGAGAACCACCGTGACCCACGTCCGAGCAGCAAACCCCAGCGCGGAGGGCCGAAATCCAAGACGGTCCATTTCCTGCTTGCGCCCACTGATCTGGAGATGAAGGCGTACAAGGAAATGGCGAGACGTCCCGCAGACCTTGGGAAATCAAAGTCGCCATTGCAGCAGCGGAATGCTAATCTCTCGCACGTCGCTTCTACTTCGACGCGAGCTGTTCCCGCGAAGGCCTTTGCAGCCGCCGCCAAAGCAGAGGCGTCGCCAGTGTCTGCGACGGCTTCGACCGTGCTCCTCAGAAGGGACGCGGTCTTCAAGCCGCCGGTCAGCTTGACAGCCGAGCAGCTCAAACTCGGCATCGCCTTCTACAACTCACCCCATTTCGAGATCTGGGATATGGAGGATGAGTGAGTTCATCTCCCCTTCATATTGCTTTTAGCATCTAACGCCCTCCTCATCTAATCTAGTATATTCGTAGCCTGGCCCGCCGAGCTGCGTCTCGAAGCCCTCGACTCCGACCGCTGGGAATTCACCTCCCTCATCCAGCCCGAGATCCTGCGCGTCGCCCTCGAGTGCCACTCCAAGTACTACTGCAAGGACGGCGACCACACCAAGTACCCGTACGCCATCTGCGACGCGGATTCGTGGTATGCTGTCGCGTACGGCGGGGCGGTGTGCAGGGACGGCATGCGGTCGGCGGTCGTGCCTGCTGCGGGGATACACGTCGCGGCGCAGTGGGAGCGCACGTACAAGCGGCGCGCGGACCCCGTCGACGTTGAGGGTACGGGTACGGGTGCGGGCGCGCGCAGGCCCAAGGCGCGTGAGGTGCCGGCCGAGCGCGGGTGGGTGCTAAGGTTCTGGATACCGATCCCGACGCATCTGTTTGTGAAGCGGGAGACGCGCTCGTTCGTCATCGAGGCGAAGGTCTGGCTCGCCGACGACGCGAGGGAGCTGCCCCACGCGGACAAGGCGCTGTCGGCCACGGCGGAGATGACGATCTCCCACCTGAGGAGGGCGCGGGAGATGATATAGTTATAGTCTGATGCTCGTCCTGCTTTGCTCGCTGCTCCTACATGCTACTTCACATTCATTACACGTTACGCTCTACTCACGACCAGCCCTCGCGCATGCATATCCACATTGTATTAGATATTCAGTCCAAGATCGCCAACCGCGTACTGTACAAACTAGCATACATCCGTCCGCTCAGATAATATTACACGGTCCCATGCACCTATACACCTACTGCGCAAGCGGCTGGATCTGCTTCCGCAGCTCCTCGAACCGCTGGCCCTCCGCCTCCGCTTCCTGGATCTTCTGCTCGAGCCTCCCCACGCGCGTGTCCTGGCGCTGCTCCATCGCGAGGATGAGGCTGCGCAGGTCCTCGATGCGCGTCTGCTTGCGGTCTGCGGGCGCGGGGGGCTCGGTGCGCGACGGCTGGCGCGCGTGCCCCGCAGGAAGCGCGGCCGCGCGGGCCACCGGCGACGCGGATTCGCCATCCGAGAAATGCGAATGCGCGCCCTTGGTGCCGTACATGAGCTCCTGGATCGTCGGTATCCCCAGCATTTTCTGTGCGCGCGTGCGTTCAGTTCAATGCACTCGGCAGACACGGGACGGAAATTGCACGTACCTCCCATTGCTCTCCCGCGAAGCGCGCGAGCTCGCGTTCGAGGCGCAGCTCTCGCTTGCTGTGACTGGGGGGGAGTGGGTGGGTAGATGTGAGTAACGGGCCGGAGGATGCGAAGGAATGCGAATAGGCGAACGCACCACTCAATCTCCGCCATGCGATCAGCATTGTCCTTCTGCGTCGACTCCAGGATCATCTCGACGGCCTGGTGGTCCTTTGTGAGCTCCTCCACCCGGGACGTCAGCAGGTGGATCCGGCCATGGAGCTATCAGCAGCAGCAGCAATGCGCATTCGCATTCGCAAATAGCGTGAATGAATGGATGGATGTATGGATGAATGAATGAATGGTGAGAACACGTCGTATTCTGCGATCGTGTGAAGCGCACCTCGCGTATTTCCTGGTCTTTTTCTGCGAGTTGGCGACGGAGGGTGTCTTCCGGCGACTCTGCTTCTCGAATGGCACCGAGCTCATCGTGGGCGGCTAGTGTGGAAATGGAGGGCCGCGCATGGTGCTTCGAGGCTAAGGTCTGGGATCGTCGCATTCGGTGTTATGATTGGAGTTCCTTGGACGACACGCCTCTTGAGGACGAATAAAGTGTTGAGAAGCGGGCGAGGCTGGCGCGTAAGCGCTTAAACCACGCGTCTGAGCACGTGACCTTCACGCTTCGCTTCAAGTTCGACTCCGCCAACTCAGAAGTTCACGTTCGGTTGCTGACTTCTCTTCAGACAGTCATTCAAGAATATGAGGATCCGAACGGTAGCGTACCGATAACTTGCTACTTGACAAATCGAATGCCTGTACCCGCCCTCGCCGACTTCGAAGCAGACCGATCCCTACCAGCACTAGACGCCGCTGATTCCCCGCTTTTACTCCAGAGAGCCATCCAGGCGTGCACGGATCTCAGGACAGTGCGTGCTACACCGGCTGGCTGGTATGAGAACGGATGAATGATGGTCAAATGACTGTTCCGTGTCTGGCAAATTAACCCCGCCCCTAGGCGCGATGGCACCTCACGAACGCATCTGGCGCCATAGGACCTTGATGCTTCCTTCCTCGATGGCCGGAGGCCGTTCAATGTGGGTCGCTTCCTCCTTGCACTCGGAACTGCCACCCATGCACATGTGCGTTGCTGTAATTCAGCGCTATAATTACACTATGGCTAACGCGCGTCCCCAATCAATCCCCACTGATCTCAGAGATGCGGAAGTTGGCACGCCGCTGGGTCGTTTGCGCCGACGGGTGTTCGACTCGAGTGCTGTGTGAGCATTCGAATGACGGATGACGAACGTCCGCAAGCGGCGTCCTAGCGAGGGCCAAGACTCGCCCTACTGTGTGTTGCATCTGCTTCTCCCGTAGAGTGCCAGGCTTACATGTCCTCTCTTTTTAGCTGAGTCGACTTTTCTCTCAACATGGTGCAAACTTATGCTATAATTATCATATATCGCCCGCCGCCATCGGACGGAACGGCGGAGGATGGGGTTACAAGCATCGGTATTACGGTACACTGAAAAACTGTGACAGGATATGCTTCTGATACTACGCCTGGCAGACACCATGTCTACGTTGAATACACTCACCCCACCTTCGTGCGAGAGCATCGTACACCGGATGGGGGTCTAGGCGGCTAGTTTACTCAGAGCTCCGGCCTTCGACGAGTACGCCAGGGGAATGGCATCAACTCCCTCGCAGATTCTCCAACCAAGAGTCCGGATTCGCTCTGGCGTTCTGGTATAAAACATCCGTTCTGTCTAACGAAAATCCATCATAGCGACACCTGCTCTCTCAACATGTCTACCATCGCTCTACCTTTCATCCTCTTGGTCATCGGCGTTGCCACCGTGACTTCGGTCAGGAAGCTGTTTTCCGCCCTCGCGAAATATACCGCGCAAATTCGGGCTAGCGTCTCTGATCTTTGGGTACGCCAACGAAGCTGCACTTCACCAATGTGCCCCTACTAATCAACTGCCTCGTTGTTCAGTCTCAAAATTCAAAGACATCCTTCAATGCCGGTGGAGGACCGCTGTCGAGGTTGGCTTTAATGATTCCTTAATTACCTCCGCTAATCCCAACTGGACAGACATGACGTCGTGTCGCTCTACAAAGAGGGCACCTGGCAGCGCCAAGCTTTCGACCGCTACACCTCGGTACTGCTCAACGAGGACTTGATATTCCCGTGCATCTACGCCACCAAAGGCTTCAATGGCAACGAGCAGCGCTTCGTCTTCATCGACACTGACGACCTCTCCGACCAACGCCATATCAAGACTCTAGCACGTGCTCTCACCGCCTACCTCCCGCAAGCCCGGTCCCTGGGCCCCAACACCTCGCTCGTCCTCCTCGCCCGCGAAAACGACAATCCCCGCACGATCGAGGAGTACAACGTCGGTTTTTGGAAGTTGCTGGACGGCCTGGCGAGGCTCGATAAGAAGGCGTGGCCGGCCGATATCCCGCAGGAAATCGATACGGACAGATGGTGCTTCTGCTTTGGCGGGGAGCCGTTCTTCACTGTCGTGCAGACACCAGCCCATCAAGTACGCCAATCGCGCTACGCCAAAGGGCTGTCAATCGTCTTCCAGCCCAAGTGGATCTTCGATATTCTGTTCAGCACGGACGCGAAACGCGCCGGTGCTCTCTCTAAAGTCCGATCACTGCTCGCGAAGTACGACACAATCCCTGTTAGCCCCGAGCTGAAGAACTACGGAGAGGAGGGGTCGAGGGAGAGCAAACAGTACTTCCTCCTCGATGAGAACTCGCCAGCCGACTGCCATCTACAGGTCTTGGGGCAGTGAATATAGAGCATGTCTGCCCTCGTGACCACGATCACGGTGCGTGCCTCCTACCCCACGCTGCCGTGTTCAAACGATTTTGAATAATTGGCTATTTAGTTTGTATTCGACTGCAGGCTTCCAAGCGTGTGTTCTTTTCCGGCATTTTTCGCCGTGCCCCACTTTCATTTGTCCCATCTTCTTCGCTTGATGTATACCAATTGTGAAATTCTATATTTCTATTTCTATTCATGTTACCTCCTTAAAATGCTTCATCTCCTGATTCAGACTCAGCGGCTCTCGAACTCAAGTCGATCATTCATAGAGCAGCGCAAGTGGACCTCTAGATCAATTGAAGTGCGATTACTCGTAACTCATGACTGTTCGACCGACCATCGTGGACCCCTCGAATCCTATTCATATTCATAGTGACCATGCTCATGTGGATTATGCATTGGGGAACATGGATCAACTCGTGTACACAGATTGCAGGCTGCTAGTGCACGGGACTCTCGACGGTCTAGGAGCTGGCCTTGGAGCTGGCCTTGATCTCACAGTACCTCGTTTACGATGGCGCATGATCTTCTCATGGGAGACCGTGTTACGTGTTTGAACGGTTATTTAATCCGAAGAGGTACACCGCCAGATTGCCGGTAGCTCGAGAGACTCCACGGTCGACAAGCTATGCTCGTTCCTTTATGCCATTAATCAGCCATTGAATAGACTCGCGTGACAATGAAGGTGCACGGATACCATCTAATTTCGGTTTGCAACATCCCAACCCCAATCTCACTACAACCGCGCGTCGAGCACTGGAGATAAACGAAGAAAGTGTCAGTTAGTAGACGTATCCTTAGACCCCAAGAATTACAAACTCAACGCGTGGTAGACTTACGTGCAGCGCATCAAATCGAGCGCTGACACTACCTGTAAGTTGTTTATCCGCACTCCCCTGTTTATCCCCTAACCACTCAATCTTTCACATATGGTCCCAGGCGTGATTGCGATATCCTGCTTGAACTGTTCTTAGGCACGATCTACACCAGGTGAGCTTTGCTGAAGTCACGAATACAATTGAGGATGGTTGCTTGATACGTGAAATAGGGTGGTCGGTTTATCGAATCTGTCCCGTGTACGAGATAGGGGAGAAGAAGTGGCCATCAATGAGACAAAGAACAAGATCCATTCAATAGTTTCTCAGGAGATTGTGGTATAATTTGGCGTCCTACGGAATCATCGCCAAGATGTCACGATCCACGCAGGGTCATATTTTGCATTTGGCTGCATCAGCACACTGCAAATCGTGAGCGAACCGCGTACATCGAGCTATGCGCCATTCCTGTTTATATTTAGCCGCCTTTCAGTTAGGGGACCCCTCAGTATGTCACGAACCACGTAAAATCAGTCGGCAGGTCGATATGCCTCCCGGTACTTTCAAGGTGATCCAAGTGTGGCGATCTGATGCGCATTAAAGAAGCAGAAAACTCGACTTTTCAATGCCCTCGCGAGCCGCCCCCATATTAACTTCTCCCTATCTAGACGTGTCAGTGAGGGCAAACATCGCTTGTTCGTAGCTTCAAGTTCGTGAGCTGCTTTGCTTATTGAACACGGTGAAATATTGGGCCAGGTCCGACAAACGTATATTCAAACTCGGCTCGGGGCAACCTGCTGCTCATCGCAACATATTTTGGTAGTCGGTGATTAATCTTGAAGCTCGAAGCGACAAAAATTTATTCGTTCTATGTGGGGTCGACCTTTCGTCTTCGGAAATGGTGCAGTCCGAGGTAGCCAAGCCTAAGAAATAGTCAGAAGCTGGGGCAACGTTGGATACTCAGATACTCGCCTCAGATTCGCTATATCGAGCTTTCGAAGGCTGCAAATGATGCAAAAATCCTGTCTGATGCCAACGTGACATGCTGCTCCGTGTCCAAGAGACCGGCGAAGGCAAAGTGGTTCCGTCTGGTAATCCATAGCTTGCGCTGGTCCCAAGTAGCCTTGTGTTCGCACAGCCAGAGCGGTGGAACCATTGAGGCTATCGGAAGGGTCCCTCCAGAAGTACACCGCGAGCGGCGCACCGTGCTTGTGCACCACCGATAAGACCACGGGTGCGTACGCTGACCAGAGTCACCAGACGCCTGGCAGTCAGGTGCCGCCCCACGGATGCTCTGATCCGGTGCACATCGCCAAAAGTCTCCAATGTTATTCTCCAATTGGCGCACCGCGCTGATATTTTGGACGCGAAATTAGAAACAGGCTATAAGTGTGTCTATCACGGTGATGCATATGAATGAGCCGCAATCGATGTATGATATATGATATATGATCGGCTCCCACTCACCTTGCATACGGCCTGCGGGTAATTCATTGTGATCACAGGACGGGGTGAAGTGATAAACTTTGGGGTGAGAAGTGTCCCGGACCACTCTATGGAGCCTCGCGAACGCGACGGGCTCTACACGATGCTCGTGCCCGTGCCAGGTTTGCGACTCGCCAGCCGCCGGTTGGAGGGACAGGGGCTTCGGGGTCAGGCACCGAGACAAGCGCCGGCCCATTTACATAAGGGCTGGCCAAATAAACAAGGATCAGATTCACTGACATTGCGTTTTGCGCCTTGCTGCTCTCCACCACCATGAACGACCCGAGGGACTCTGCGACGCTGCTCCCGCCCTCGAAGCTGGGGGAGTACACCGTGATACAGGACATCGCAGAGGGCACGTTTGGCAAAGTCAAAAGTACGTGATTGCACGATCCCGGACAGACAAAGTCTTTGCTGAGGCGGCAGCGATCTCGCAGTGGCCATGCACACAGTGACCGGACACAAAGTTGCAATGAAGTTCATATCGAAGGCTGTTATCCACCAATCCAAGACCAAAGTCAGAGTCCAGCGCGAGGTGGAGTACATGCGCAAGCTGCGACATCCGCACATCGTAAAGCTGTAAGCGTTGTACGCTTATTCGTAATCTTATCGTTGGACTGAAACTCCATGCTAGCTACGAAGTCATCTCAACGCCGACAGACATCATAATTGTGCTCGAATTCGCTGGAGGAGAGCTATTCAATTACATCGTCACCCATGGCCGCATGCCGGAACAGCGTGCCCGTCGCTTCTTCCAGCAAATCGTCTCGGGAGTGGAATACTCCCATCGCCTGAACATCGTCCACCGCGACCTCAAACCGGAAAACGTCCTCTTGGACGACGATCTCAACGTCAAGATTGCGGACTTTGGCTTATCCAATGAAATCAGCGACGGGAGCTTTCTCAAGACGAGCTGTGGCAGCCCGAACTACGCAGCGCCCGAAGTCATCAGTGGGAGACTGTATACTGGCCCCGAAATCGACGTCTGGAGCTGCGGGGTCATTTTATATGTCATGCTCTGTGGGAGGCTGCCCTTCGAAGACGATGATGTGCAGGTGCTGTTTACGAAAATCTCTCGTGAGTTCTGCCGTTTATTCCGGCAGTTTGTGATCCCTGACCGTGTTGCAGAGGGTACCTACCATATGCCGTCCTACCTCTCTTCCGATGCCAAAAACCTCATTTCCGCGATGCTGGCTGTCGACCCATTAAAGCGGATCACCATCCCCGATATCACTGAACATCCTTTCTTCACCACCGAGCTCCCACGCTACTTGACCCCTCTGCCGCCGCCTCCGGGACCTCTTCTCGGCACACTCAGTTCGCTGGTATCTCCTCCCAAAGTCCTCGACTTCGAGTTCATCGAAGGCCTCGGCAGAATCGAGGAGGATGTAGTGGCAGAGCTGGCTAACCGCATGTCGGGTGTGGACAAAGACGACATATGGGAATGCCTACGGCGAGACGATGGTCCTCAGGGAAATGCCGTAAAGGTCGCATATCTGTTACTTCGAGATAAGCGAAGGCTGGGGCGAGATTGTAAGTCGTTCGTGTTGCTTTGACCCTGAAATCCGCTTACACTTGGTCAGTGGCCGAGTTCGAAGAACAAGAACGAGATGCACAGCTGGCTGCCATGGACGTGAGTGTCTGTCGTCATTGCGATGGCGCTTTCCAACTAATCACATGCAACAGCCTCGTAACGCCCTTTCCCCAGCCGCTTTGTCTGCTGGAGGCGGAGATCTAGAAGAAAACCCATTTGAAGCGGAATTTAATGGAGAATACGAAGACGATCCCGACGACGACGACGACCCGTTCCCTGTCCCGCCCCTCGAAAACGCCGAAATCAACAACTTCTCCGTCCTCAACTCGTCCCTCCCCGAACAGCTCCCCGAGCAGCACCACCTCACGTCGTACATGTCCGCGAAGCGCTCGTGGGCGGGGAGCAAGGAGAAGAAGCAGCACCGGACGAAGTGGCATTTTGGGATCCGCAGCCGAAGTCCGCCTATGGAGGTGATGCTGGAGATCTACCGGACGCTGAAGACGCTGGGGATGGAGTGGAAGGAGAAGAAGACGCTGGGTGGGCTCGGCGGTATTCGGCCGCGGCGGGGGCCCGGGGGGATTGAACGTGTTCGCGAGCTCGACGGCCCCGGGCCTGTAGACCTGAAAGCTGCAAGTGGCGTCTACTTCGTCGAGACACGAGCGCGGGTGCAGGACGTCGTGGTACGTTCTCTCTCACACTACAACCAGCTAACACCCGTCCTAACGTGATAACGCAACCGCACACGCAGGTCCTCATGAACCTGCAGCTCTACATGGTGGACTCGATCAACTACCTCGTCGACTTCCACCACAAAAAGTCGTACCGCGCGTCGACGGAGGCGGGCGCGGGGAAGTTCGACATGGCGGTGTTCGACCCGCTTCTGAGCGAGACGAGCAGCGACTCAGGACGGTCGATCAATAAGGACTTCGTTTATGGACGGGAGGAGGACGTCGTGTCGCCGTTTGTGTTCATGGATGTCGCGTGCCGACTGATCTTGGAGTTGGCAGGCGGAGGAGAATGATTTATTGTTGTTTATCTACGACTTGCTACTGCACTAATTTTGCGCCTTGCTATCTCCAAGATGGATCCAGCTCTTGTGCATCCTTTTTGATATGACGACCTCCGATGTTTATAATACCTAGTAGTTTGTTGTCCCTCTCTAGACTGTTCTCCATCTATGTACGATTGTATCAGTTGTGTACTTCTTAGTTACTGTTTTTTGGTGCTTGCTTGCTTGCAATATGGCCATAATTCTGGATTGTATCTTCTTTTGTGTTCGTAGTGCAGTCCGTACAACTACATGTGAGTGCCTAGTACTTGGTTTGTTATGTAAGGATGGGGCCTCCAGAAAGCGTATACATTCTTAGTCCTAGCTAGGCATCGTCGTGCGCCGCGGAAGCAGCGTAGAAATAAGAAGGGCCACTACCGTGCTTGCAATCAGAACGATGTAGACGAGTTGCCCCCGAGATATTTGCTGGTGACGGATACGGAGAATAGGGAGTTGGCGGCGGCTGGACCTAAAGTAGTGGTAGTGGCAGTGATCAGCGATGGGTGGACGACCCTTGACAAGGACAGCCTACCTATGGCCCTCATTATGCTCACGATCACTTACGAGAGACCGTTCATCGCGCCGAGCGACTGTCGGTTCGGTGCCGATGAAGATACGAAGATAAATATGGCGCCTGGAATGTCCTGTCAGCGTCAAGGAGCGACACAGAAAAGAAACCGAATGAACACGCAGGATGGGACTGACCGTACGATAGGCTGAGGCGCATGGAAACGACGACCTGCAGCAACGTCAACCCGAGCACCACCACGCCATGCCCATCCCTCCTAGCGAAATGGCTGATGATGCATGATGGGGAACAGCGCAAAGACCGGGATCGAGGAGAACATATGCCCCAGATGAAGATGGCTTTCGTCCCCCAGAGGCCGTGGATGCGCGCGAAGAAGCACGCGGTGAATAGTCCGTTCAGGATGCCCCACGTTGCGAGGAGCTTTCCGATGTCGGAGGGCGGCCAGCCGAGGCCCCCGAGTGCGATCGGGCTGGAGAGGAAGAGCGGCTGTACGGCGCGGTAGGCAACGTCCACCAGAGCTAGGGCGGCATAACTGGCTGTTGCTGTCAATACGGGCTTGATGAGGAGTGCGTGCAGTGGAAGATGGCCTGCGCCGACTTTGTCTGACTATTTGATGGTGTTGGCTGGCCTCGAAAATTCGGAGGAGGCAGGCCCACTGTCTGAAACGTCGGCGTCGTGATCTGGAGTGGCGCATTCCTTTCGACGCCGAAGCCATTTCGGGGACGCGAAGGGGATTTTGACGGTCAAAGTCTCTTTGAAGAAATATGTCACGAGCCAGGCGATGAAGGCAAACGTCGCGGATATCCCGCAAGGCAGGAAGTGTGGGTATTCCTGAACGGCCGAAGAGACGAGGGAACCGCTCCGCCGGATGCGAGAGCGAGCCGCCGATCATCGGAGCTAATGTGCTCCCTGTAGACCGGGAAATGGGGACCCAAGCATACGCCTACACGATCTTTAAACTGTGAGAGTTTATCGAGCCGGGAAATATTCGGAGAGTCGGTCATTTCAGCCATCATGCTAGATATTGAAAGGATTAGAAGTTCGTAAGAGGTGATGTATTGAGTTGGACGTTTTCATTACATCGATATTGCCGTCTAAGATCACTAGCAGTTAGCACGGTGTTCTGCTAGCCCCTGATCATGTACTCACTCAATACGCCATTAAGACATCGACTAATCGATAAGTGAGAGGCAGGCATTGATGTGCTGATATAAATCGTACCTCAAGATTAAGCCCAAGAACGTCTTCGAGGGGCCAAAAAAAGACATCGAAGCAGACAGGCCCAAGAGACCACGCAAGATCACTGGCTTACGTCCGATCCAATCCGACATCCGACTCCAATGCAGAACGGTGATTGCACGAGTCACGAAGAACAACGATTCCTACGTACGTTCAGCTCAGAGAAAATCAACCAGAAAGCCGCATAGCTCACTAGTAATCCCACATAATATCCGACCTTCGCCTCATCGCCGTGCGTGACTCCGAGCTCGTATAAGCTAGCGATTCCCTTCGTGTCAGGTCCCCCAGGCTTTAAATGCTTTGAACGTACTTGGGGAGCAAATGGATAAATGACTTTGGAAGTCAACGGTTCCGCAAGCTGTAGATTCCTAATACTAGGATACTCTATGTCCATAACCACGAACGCAGCACCCGTTCTTACCATCTGCGTCAGCAAGCTCGCGTGTGCATACCGAAGCGCTCATCTGCGCTAATTTGCAGACTGCCTTACACTGGGTGCAGGATCAGATATTATTTGCGGTATTATTTTGATTGCTATCTGAAGAATATCTCAGTTAAGCATGTCATACCCAGTTATCTCGAGTGTGACCAATATGTAATGAGTATGAGATAGCAACGGCAGTATTATCCTCAACTGACTTAAACCTCTCATTGTGAGTAAATATTTATCACATATTACACGACTCTATATTGAAGGATTATTGCACATTTACTCCACATATTGGATATGTAATGTTAGCAACAATATGTTGTCCTGCACGCTGTGTTAGGAGATAGGAGTATGTCTCATTTCGACTCTTCGAGGAAAAACTCCGCGATAGGCGCGCGATCGCGTGACTGTGACGGGACTCGTGACACGATCGAAGAAGGATCTCTGCAAACCACTACCGCTCTGCCCTCTACCCGTTGCTCATTCATGGCTGGCAGGATTGCTGATTACATTGGAATCAACCCAAATCACTTTACTGCTGCCCCCTTCTATTTGCAATGCTCGCCACGAGGAAAGCTGCGAGCAATCCTCAAAATTCCAACCAAATTCCATCTATCGCGGCCCGTATATGACAATCATCAAGGAACATATCTGGCGCAGTAGAACATCATGCCCGGTCTATCTGATGCTTGGACTGCACACCACGTACTCTACCGCACCTGCAGCCGACTTTCGCTGCAACGAATTCGCTTAACCGGGGCTGATTTATGGAACGGCGGGTGCTACTCGAGGCTACGATATGGACGAGAACGACGGGTCTTTGGTTATTTTTGGATGTCGCGGCGACTGAGTACTGAGGACGCACGAAGTTGCGGTCTGGCTCAATGGAACGCTGTTCAATCTTGCGTGGTCGAGCTCGTGCCCACCACGGATCCCCAACGCAAGCTGTGTGCAGAGGGCGTATCCAGACAGCAGTGTCATCTCGTAAGTCTGACATCAACTACACATATGCACGGTATTTATCACCGTTTGAAGCAACCGCTATGTCTCAGCCGAACGGCCCCCTCGTCGACTCGAGCGGCCCATCGACCTCATCACCGGTGCTGGGAACGACGATATCGCTGATCAACGCCGCTCAGTACGTAGTCTAGTGGCAAGTACCGTGCTCAGTACTCAGCTAGCACCCCGACTTTGTCTCTGCGCGTCGCGCGATGGCTATATATATTACATACTGATGTTTCGTTCAATTGGGGCTTGTGTGGACTTGTTAACATAGCCTTACTCTGGGATTCGCTTCAGCTTTCCGCGATATATCTTTCGGAAACAATATAAAGGACGTACGTTCGTCCATGCTCCCTCCTCTCGAATAGATTTAGCAGTGCTAAAGCTCAAACGGTGCATTGTAATTGTAGTATTAATCGATTGCATGCCCAAATAGGACCTTACTTCTGGTGTGTCCTCTCTTCATATATTTTCACCTCCACTTCCACACGCCTTTCCCATTGATAATGATTCTTACATACAGCCTTGAAGAGGGGCCCTGCTGAAGAGGTGGCATGTCTGTTCGTTCGGCGGGCCCTGCAATCGATAATGCTATTCACTCGACGATAATCTAATACGCCACCACACTTTCATATCTCATGGCATTTGACGTGCTTCGGTGCGCCGAGGCTTCTGTCCCATTTCATTGTCGTTGCCTCAACGTGTCAATGATATCGCAGCGTGGTATTTTCCATCCCATCTTCGTCAGTGCAAGGCCCACCATAGGCTTAACGGCTAGCTCAACAGCTGTAGGAATGCACAAGAGCCAAGTGTTCCAAACCGAGCTAGTATCTCGATAGTGATGTGCTATATATCGTTACGCTAATGTTTCGATCAGTTAGGCTTCAACCACTTTGTGTGTATTTAGGACGAACGTTCGTTTAGGCTCCCTCCTCGAGAGTAGATTTAACAATGGTCATGATGCTGAGACAGTGCATTGTAATTGCAGTACAAGGCAAGCGATTCGGCGGGTTCGCAGCGTGAGTGCTACTTATCGTACATTGAGTGACGCATCCCTCCGATGACATCTCTTCTTATCAATAGTCATTTTTGAAAGGCCTCGGGACCCCCAATCCTGACACCCTGCTGCAGAAATGGCTAAAACTACCGTGAATCGTGATAGGGAGCGAGGTCTGTTCAATCGATAATGTTATTCACTGGACGATGATCTTGATATGCTGGTTTCATATTCCATGACACTTGACGTGCTCTGGTGCGCCTTGAGGCTCTTGAGAGGAGGAATTGGTGTCCCATGATCCCCCACCCTAGGCTATCCTCACGATGCTACTGGCACTTCTGTCCTGTCGTTCCCTAGCCCGTCAATGATATCGCAGCGTGGCACTCCATGGGCCACTCTCACCGCCTCTACGCCGATGTCCCGTGTTCCCGTGTTCAACACGCGACGTGTTTCTGGAGATAATCAATACCATCCTGCGTGGAAACGACCACCCTGTGGAACCGACCTCCGATTATTCGTATATAAAAGCTCGATCGCCTTCCAAGGTCTCATCGGTAGCTCTGCAGCCTCCCCTTCCGCACGGACAACCATGCCGCCGCGTGGGAGGAGAAACAAATATCGTAGGACGCCCAGCCCTGAGCCGAGCAGCGTTGAGGTGAGCAGCGTTGAGTCGAGCAGGCCGCCCAGCCCCATTCTCGAGGTCAGCTCGCTTGCTATCGCCGGGACCGTCTCTCATGCTGTCTTTCCAGAGCAAGATAAGTCTTAAAGATACGGTACGTGCCATCTTATACAAGAGATACGCTGCGAATCAAACCTGATTTGGTGTCCCCCAGGAGTACTATCAGGAGGTACTTCGACCTTTCCTGGTCTTGTTGCCATAGAATGCTCATCCCGCCCTTACCCCTGCATCCTCGTGAAACCTAAATTACACAGGTATGTGTATGTAGCTATCAAAGCGCCTTCATGTACTAATAGGAAATATCTCTTTGTAGGAGGTATGCCCGATGCCTCAGTAAGATACAACTTGAACGACTGAACGGATATACCTCTGGTTTCTTGATTCCTTTCTAGTACGCCTCCCGTGCCTCTCCATCTCTCAACTTGCTAAACACGCTCGCTACGCAGGATTCTGCCTGCTATTCAGAAGCACGTCAACACCTGTCCGATGTATCTCTACCACATCAAGGATAAAGAGCTCGTTTCTCGAGCACAGTTGGTCGACAGGATCACCCTTTATCTCGAGGAACGCATCAGGCTTAGGGCCGGTGAAGACCCGCAAACCATAGACACGCTGGCTCAGAAGCAATCGAAATTTCAAGATTTCCGCATCCGTACTGCCTCCGCCTATGCCATCCTCTCACACAGATGGGGAGACGATGAATTGAAATTCGGCGACCTGCAGCAGCGGGATACGATTGAGATGGAGAAGACACAGGGCTTTGTGAAGTTTGTCGAGTTCTGCAAGGCGGCGGCGCAAAGCGACTACAGTTGTCTCTACGTTTGGGCCGATACCGCGTGCATCGACAAGAAGAGCAGCACCGATCTCGACGAGGCCATAAGGTCGATGTATAATTGGTATAGGAATGCCAAATTATGCATTGTCTATCTCAGTGCCAGCAACCCTGAGGAGCTGGAGGGCGACCCCTGGTTCAAGAGGGGGTGGACGCTGCAGGAAATGCTGGCGCCGAAAAGGCTCAAATTCTATTGCAACGACTGGTCGAAGCTCTACCCTGGCAGGCGATACGACGTCGTCCGCGCTAGTCACGTAGCTCCTGACGATGCATCTTCTGAGGATCCTCAAAGCAAAGGGAGTTACTTCGATGTAGACACCGCTTCCGACTGTGGAGACACTGGCGACGAAGGCATATATCCTGTTTCAGAAGTATCGGATGACGACAAGGACACGCATTATGGTCCCCAGAAAAAGATGTCAGTCTCAGAGAAGCTGACACCCGAAGTCCTTAGGAGGCTAGTCGAGATTACAAGTAGGAATTTAGATCTTCGTCCTTTGCACGTTACTAACCTCGCCACAATTCAGAAATCAGATACCGGTTCTTATTAAATTACGATCCAAGCCCTGCCAATGCTCGCAACGTTTTTCAATGGGTTTCTGAGAGAACGACATCTCGCGCCGAAGACATGTCCTACTGTCTTCTTGGCCTACTGGACATACAGATCCCCATTGCGTATGGCGAAGGCGAAGAGCGCGCATTCTATCGCATCCAAGTCGAGTGTTCCCATCACGTTGAAGACAGGAGCCTGTTTCTCTGGAATGGGAGCCGCTCTCGGTGGAATACGATGTTCGCAGACAGCCCTTCCGCCTTCTATCACCCCAAAGCGCACCAAGGGGACCCCCGGTCCTTATCCTCTAATTGTCTCTTCAGCTCCCACTCCGCACGAAATCTGGATCCTTCATTCACCTTGACCAACTGCGGGCTGCGCATCATGGTGGCTCTTCATGATGTCAAGTTCGTGGAGGTTTCCACTAATTCGGAGAGGCACACTTATGTGCTCACCGTATTCAAGAAGGGTGATACCAAGGTGAATCTTCGCTGGCGAGGCGACCCCCCTGCCTCGGACAGGGTGACAGCAAGATGGAAAGTTGCAGTCGTTGGAGGATTTGGCGACAACAATGCCCCCTTCGCCATTTTGCTGCGTGAAAGGGCTACTAAATTCCCGCCTCGATACTACCGACTCTCGTCTGCTGTCTTCGATGAAATTCCTTCCCTCAGTTCCCTTACCCAAAAACCTCCAAAGACGGTCTGGATCCAGTAGAAGCAGCAATCGAGTAGTTGGTAGTAAAGAGATTTTGCCGTTTGTGGAATGATGTACATGTGAAAGATATGACTGTCTGAATTTGCACGCCCCTTGGAAGAGTAAATACATCAGTGCCGGTATACATTTTGTCGGATGCACATAAATTAGAACAGCTTCTCCAGCGGACTGATGACCGTGCCCATCTGACCACGACAACGTCAGCACACTTTCACTGTCGGGTCCCGGGGTCGACACCCGCTACCTTTTTGATAAGATGAGGCTTCGGGGGCTGTTTGCGACCACCAGTCCCTCCCCAAGAACCCTGTAATAGATAGATCAGGTAAATCGATTAAGAAGCGCTGACGGGTGCGAGCTTACCCAGCCAGGAAGCGAAGTGTCGACTTCCTGAGGGGCGTCTTCAGCCATTTCGCGGCGTTTGACTTCTTCAAATTGCTATAATGATAACTGGGCTTTAGCAAATGGCACCACGGCAGCAACTGCGACTATACCTGAACAACGTTGTCTCCAGCGAAAGCCAACGCCACCAAGTCGCGTTGCTGAAAGGCAATTTGGCCATTCTTTCCCCCGTTCTGCTTAGCCGAAATCATTTTTTCTTGCTCCTCGACTTCGCTATTGGCATCCGAATCGTCGTCCGCTGATATGATAGGAGCTGCCAAGGACGCAGGCTCAGCACGAGGTTCAGTAGGCTCGAGGACGTTGTCCATGGATATTTCAATCTCGGCATCATCTCGCGCCTTAGTGCGCTCTTCGTCGAGCTTCTTGGATTGCTTTTTTAGTCGATTCTTGGATTTGTCGGCCGCTCCGCTGGTCTTCGACACGATGACCTCGTTCTTTTTACGGGTAACATGGGGTCTTGGCTCGTCGGTTAGAGGACGACGGATCGTCGTTGGATTGCCTAGTAGATGCCTCCATGCGGCTCGGGATGGTTTGCCGCGCCTCAATAGGTGCCGGAGTAACGAGATCCGTCGATTTCAGCGTGACGCTGGAGGTATCTGAGGCCGTCGACAGCAGAACCTACCACCCATTGGGCGACTTTCTTTTCGTCGAAAGTCAAGTCCATCTGACGTCCACTCAGCGAACTAACCCTTCTACGTCTCCGATATATCTGCTGCTCTCTGGGAGTCTTTGACTAACGAAGGGAAGCGAAGCAATGCATATTTTCTGGATAATGATAATCCGTCTAACTCAACCTCAACCTCAAGCTACTGCAATTGCTTGGCGATGCCTAGGCACCTCGTCTGGTCTATACCTTACCATCGCCGCCTCTCCTCCCAAAATGAAAATGCGAAGTCGAAGTCGAAGTCCAGCTCGACTCCCTTGTCCAAGGGTCCCGGTCAGGGCGCAGCGGCGTCACGGGGCATTCCTCGGCGTCAGGACCAGGCCCTGAGGATCATCGATCATCGCTCGGGCTGCTACTATCACTTAGGCAGATTTGCAAAACTTGAGACAAATCAATGTGGCACTCCTTGATGGATGGTCAGATAATCTTCGGCATGCTATGGTAGGTTTTCGGACATCTTGGCTAGGATCTCATCAACTTTTTAAGTGAATATCTTGTGGAGAAGTCAAAGAATAGCGATGCCGGTTCAACGAGTAGCCCAAAACATAGATTTGCAAACTTTTCGTCACACTGTGTCACGAGTATTTCGGACTCCGTCGCAAAGCCGGGCATGCCGCTGTGTTCGGCAGCGCGGCAGCGATCAAACCAATCAGAGACGCGCAAAGCATGACATATCGGAATTTGAACTTTACATGCAAACAGGGGCTCCCTTGTCACGCAAAATGTAGTTGATTTTCCTGTACATGAACCAGCAGGTACATAAGCAAGCGGTGATGGCAGACAAATCTCATACCACTATGCGACCTACAGAAAAAAATTCAAGTGTATAGGCATGGTACAGCCGTCATATTATGCAAGTAGATTCTGAAGTGCCCATTTTTGCGTCACATTTCGCCTTCGGAAATAAACTTCTAGCTCTCTAACTCTCCTCAAACTTTTATAGTAGGTGAATAATGTCTATTGCTCAAATGCTATGTATGTCCAAAGGTGAAATATTGAATCTGCAAGAACCTAAAAATACTTTTGCAAATCTATGTCTGTTTGCACTATAGTACACGTGATAGTAAGGGGAATGTGAAGGCGATGCAGTGGCGTGTCGTCGCGGAGATGCAGAGGATGAACGGGCAGAGAAGCGTGCGCGCGTAAGTTACTCAGTATATCATTCAGATGGGGGTTGACCAACGTTGAACGTTGAACGTGAGCGTTGGGATCCTGGGAGCCTAGGCGGTGGTGCCTGTGCGCCGAGACGAGGCTGAGTCTGTGAGTCTGTGAGTCTGTATCCTCTCGCCGACCCGACCCCGACCCCGACTCGGGGCTGCAGGTGACCGCTGAGCATGCGAAGTAGCTACTCCGCGGGCGTATCGTGGGTTCTCGACCGCGCTGGGAACCTCGCTGGGCAGTCTCTGCATGAGACATAGAACGCAAAGCGCTCCCCCTGACTAGTGACTGGTGACTACCCCTGGTCCGAACGGACTCGTTCTCCTAGAGACTAGAGACTAGAGAGAAATATATTATATTATACACGAAGTCGTATGTAGGTCAACTATGCAGAGGGTATAACAAACAACGGGTAACTTTGCCAAATGCAAATGCAAATGCAATGCAACGAAAGGAAGTAAGCTGGAGCGGGGGTGATAAGATATATATACGGATAAAGATAGTGCATGGCGGTAAGATGGCACGATGGCACGATGGTAAGATGGTAACGCCGCGCAAATGAGAAGCGTCGGAAGCGCTAGAAGGGTCGCCAGCTAGGGAACGCTTCTGGGGCATAATAATCATCGTCGTCGTCGTCGTCGTGGTTCTGTATTTCTTTTTCTTTTTCTTTTTCCTTTTCTTCTGCTTCTGCTTCTGCTTCTGATGGCGGGTAGCAGGGGTGGAGCACCGAGCGCGATAACGGCGTCGACGGCGGCGAGGGGGTCGAGCCCCGACTGCTGACAGACACCACATCGGAGGAGGCAGCGTCGGTATGTGCCCTGTCGGCGATGCTGCTTAATAAATGCTGGAAGAGCCCGTCGATACCTATCAAAAATCAAACAAACAAAAAAACAAACAAACAAACAAACAAGCAAAAGCATAAACGCATGTCAGCTACCCGTGCCCATGTCTCCCCCCGAGAGAAGAGAAGAGAAGAGAAGAGACGCGCACCGCACTTGTCGTCTAACGCGCATTCGACGAACTCTATCTTATTCGGCAGGCTGTTAATATTAATATTAATATTGATATTCGAGAACGCCTCGCTCGCGGCCTCATCGTCGGGGCCTGGGGCAGCGGCGGCGTATCGGAGCGATGCGAGGCTGGACACGGAGCGCGAGTGGTACACGGATTTCGACGTCGCCGCTAGCGCATCGACGGTGCGCTGGGCGGCAGGCGCGCGGTGGGGGAGCAGCTCGGACTGCGTGCGGCGCATCTGGGTGAGGGACGCGCACCGCGCGCCGTGCTGCCGCAGCATCGCCGACGCGGAGAAGGGCGGGCTGTGCACCGACATCGCCATCTCCATCTCCATCGCCATCGGCGGGCTGGGTGAGGGACTGCACGCAGAGCTCACACGCGGTCGTGGCCGTGGCCTGGCGCGCTGCGCTGCGTCGGCCGGCGTGTCCACCGGGGGAGCGGCGGGCGCGGAGAGGGCGCGGAACGGGAGCCGGAAGTACGACGCGAAGCGGGCGACGCGGCGCGCGGCGGGACTCGGGGGCGGGGCGGCGGCGGCGGCGGGAGTAGCAGCAGGGCTGGCAGGTGGGAACCACGCGCTGACTAGCCACCGCGCGAGCTCGGGCGTGAGGTGCGTGTGATTGAAGGCCATGCCCATGGAAGATGGGGATGAAGATGATGATGGTGGTGGTGGTGCGTTCGTGCCCGCCTTCAGCTTCGGGTGCGTGATCCCGACGACGTACACCAGGATGTGCGGAGCCGTGTTCTTCAGAGCTGATCAAGCATCAAATCGTCAAATCATCAATGCATCAATCATCAAATCGTAGTGTGGATTAGGTTAGGTCCCTCTAGCGCCGATGATATGGCGAGGAGCGGCGTACCTTCGAGCCAGACGCGGATACTGTCAAACGTCGCGGGGGAAGTGGTGTCGTACAGCAGGAGCGCGGCATCGGCGTCGCGGTAATACATAGGTGCCTACAATTACCGTGTACATCAGCATCAGCATGATGATCACGGGCGAATGGATGATGGACGGCCGCGTATGTATAGTACGACACGACACGGTGGATTAGCCTGGGAGTAGCGAAGCGCGCACTGACCATGGTGCGGAAGCGCAGCTGGCCGGGGGTGTCCCAGAGCTGGAGCCGGACTACCGTGCGCCCGACGTGCGCCTTCTTCGTGACGAACGACGGCGCGGTGGTCGGCCCTCCGCGGGGCTCCTCCTCGAATTCGAAGCCATTTTGCGCGTATGTGTATCGCCGGATGAGGGTGGTTTTGCCTACGCCTGCGCGGCGCTCTCCGTGAGCAACGAGCAACGAGCAACTGGGCCTCCCTCGGACGGAGGAGAAGAAGAAGAAGAAGAAGGAACATGGGGACGCACCGCTGCTGCCCATGACCACGACCCGCGCGTCGAGCCCGAGCTCCGAGTCGTGCAGGCACGCTGTGCACGAAGAGTGCGTCGCGCGCGGCGAATGGGAGTATTGCGCCATGGCTTCCTGTGCGTCGACGCTGGACTTTGGACTTTTGAAGAGAAGGGCTGGATAGCAACGATGCTAGCCGATCCGAGTGTGTATGTACATACATACATTATATGTACGACAGAAATTCGAAGCCATCACGCCGGCCTCTGCCAAGCGAGCCGATCTGGCGCTCCACCCTTACTAATACTCGTAAAGTTAGCAGCGTGCCACGGGATCAGAACCACGACTATCTCGCTTCAGCTTCCTTTGTTTGCCTGCACGCACATCGCTCGCACATAGGGGGGAGCCCACGCGAACCGGGCAGGCTTCGTGCTATGTATCCTGGAGCCAGATCGCTCTTGGTACGCGTACAAAGTTAGCGTTCGCGCAGAAGCAAGGCACGCCGTTATCTTACTCAACTTCGTGGCTTGGCGGCCTGGCCTCGCTGCACTATTATATATATGTATATGATGTATATGTATACGTCTTCGAAGTTCGCGCCAACCACAAGGCGGCACCAACAAAAGTGGGCATTCGAGCTGCCCCTCAGCCTCTCACGCTCACTAAAGTCTGAAATCTGAACCCATCGCCGTCATCGTGCCACTGTCCGGGGATACTCATCAGATAGGGTGCGTTTTAGCATGGATCGATAAGTAGAGCTCGGAAGCTCGGAGCACTAGTTGTTGCGTGACTGCCAGTGGAGACAAAGCACGCCACCAACTGCCGTACGCTCCGAGCTCCTGCGCGATATCCCCATCAACGCCGCGATATCGATAAGTGTTCGAGTACTCGGACACGGTGATCCACGGGAGGCGGTCCCGAGCTGTACAGCACTACAGCACTACAGCACTACGTAGCTGAGTGTTATCAGTCCATTTATCAGTCATTAGTGACGGAGCAGACATCACACCGATGAGATGACAGACATGGGTGGGAGATCGAAACCATCCTAGCTGCGAAGAAGACACTTCACGACCATTAATCGATATTAATCATCAATCATTAGCCTCGCCCGCCACAGCACTCGCGAACGATCGCCCTAAACATGAAAACTGCAACTCAGTACTCAACCTCAACCTCCAGCTTCCGCCACTCGCCCCGAGTCCAACTCTGCCAGCCGGGTACCATCATGCTCCGAGCGTATCATTGTTCATCTTGATATCGATTATTGATTATTGATTATTGATGGGTCCGGGGATACGAGAGTGCCAAGGACCTGGTGCGGGACGGTGCCAGCGCAGGGATATCTGTAAACTATAGATGGAGACGGGTGCGAACGCACTCGCTTGGCAGGCAGATGCAGAACTACACCTACCAGCCGTGGATGGAAGCGGAGGAGCCAAAGCTAAAGGCGCGCGGACGACGATCTGAGGCCCTCGCTTCTCCAACTTCTCCAGCTTCTCCAGCTTCTCCAGCTTCTCCAGCGTTGCTCGCAGGTCCAAGTGCGACGAGCATCATCGGGAGTCGGCGCGCCCCGGCCGAAGGATGCGATGCGGACAAAGAAGGAAAAGGGTTAGCGTTATAAAGGAGCACTTGGGCACTGGAGCACTTGGGCACTTGGGCAGTGGGCGCCAGATATGGCGGAAAGCGCCCGGGTATCCGGCGGCGTTACGGTAGCTCTTGTTTGCTCCACTTTTATAGACGAAGTCGCAGAATCGGGGCGAGTCAGATATGCATATGGTGGTGAGGAATGTTGATGACGAATGACGTCACTGACTTTACATTTTTTGCAAGTGTCATCTGGGGGGCTGGTGGGCAGCGTTGATCGTGAATCGCCTTCGCTCTCGTGTGTCTCACGAGATGATATACTGATAGCGTAGCCCGTGTACGCTCGCTGGGCTTCGGCTTCAAGCTAGCGCGATGGGAAGGCAAGTTCTGCATTGCAGCGCCGGTGCTGCCGCAGCTGAGAACGCACAGCACCTACATCGCGAACACGCGCTTCTCAATACTTAAGTACTTACGCCTTGCCACTCATCCTCGCCAACCCCCTCATCCTCGCCAACCCCCTCATCCTCGCCAACCCCCTCTCCCCCTCCCCCCGCCCTCCCACTCGGCCAGCAACGCCGCTATGCTGTCGCCATCGTTCCTCAGACGGTAGCGTTTCCTCAGATGGTCGCCCCTCGCGCAGGTCGTGGATAACCCGGCCGGAGTCTCGAATTCGAGCGGTCCACTTTCATTTTTGTTTCATTTTCGTTGGAGGTGTTTGGGTGTTTGGTGTTTGGTGTTTGGGTGTTTGGTGTTTGGAGGTGCAGGACGGAACCGCGCCCAAATGACGACCGCGACGACCGCAATCCCGACCACAATCCCGGGTATGTACACTGTGCGGAGCGCGAAACGACTATTTCCATCTCCATCTCCCACGAGCTCGCGCGTTTCAATGGACAATGGACGATGTATGGAGGAAGCAATACACGCTGTTCCAGACGATTTTGAAGTTGAACGTCGGTTGATCCCCGGCCTCGAAGATCGAAGATTGGCAGGCTCATTCTTCGTGGTGGGTGGCACCATCAAGTCTCTTCAAATATTCAAATATTCAACCTTCAACCTCCAACCTCCAACCTCCAACCTCCAAACCTGCTTGAGGACCCCCGGCCACCTCACCGCGTTCACCTCCCCCGTCCCCGTTCATGCTCCGAAGCGTCATGTGGTCTATGTATATGTTTATGTCGGGAATCGAGACAGAGCTGCGTGGGAGTGGTTCCTTCTGGGATATGGCATATGGCATATCCTCACCGGCCAACAGGCGTACGCGAACCCCCCCCCGCCGCCGAAATAATAAATAATAAATAATAAATAATAAATCTCCGCAGCCCTCGCGCATCGGGGCGTGCTGAAAGAAGGCGCGGCTGCGCTGCGTTCGGTGCGAATGCTGACGCACGAGGATGCGATGCAAGATGTTAGATGTGAGATGTAAGATGTAGGATGTAGGATGTAGGATGTAGGGCGAGTGGAGAGGGGGAGTGGTGACGGCATGCAGCGTTAGTAGCTAGGAGGGCGTGGTAGGGTGTGGTACTGGGCGCGATGGCAGCCCGAGCGAGGATCGATGATTGATGAACCCCCGTGACGCCGCTGCGCCCTGACAAGGGAGTCGAGACAAGGGAGTCGACTGGACTTCGACTTCGGATTTTCATTTTAATTTTGGGAGGAAAGGCGGCGATGGTAAGGTATAGACCAGACGAGGTGCCTAGGCATCGCCAAGCAATTGCAGTAGCTTGAGGTTGCAATTGAGTTAGAGGGATTATCATTATCCAGAAAATATGCATTGCTTCGTTAGTCAAAGATTTCCAGAGCGCAGGGCGCAGGGCGTGAATCCAGAATCCAGAACTCAGACGCTCCTAAGCTCGTAAGCTTACTGCTTACTCAGTGGAAAACTCGAACTCGAACCCAGTTCCCGTTCCCCAACTATCTCCTTGCTCCTTGCTCCTTGGTGAAAGCGTGCCACCGTCCTCGTTCGTTCGTCCTTGTTCGTTCGTTCGTCCTTGTTCTGTCTCGCGAATCTGCGAATCTGCGATGCCTTCTGCCTTCTGCCCTCGCCTTGATCGCGACGAGCGGTATCGCCGTCGTCTGCGTAAGCGTCCGGACTCCGGCAGCGCGACTGAAACCAGAGTTTTTCGACCCCTCCATCCATACATCCATTCACCCATCCATCTCCTTCGAAGGCGAAATGGAGGAGGCGGCGCCGCGCCAGGCGGGAATCCAGTATGCCAGTATGGTTGAACCGTGGACGAGCTGTGATCAGTGTGATCAGTGATCAGTGATCAGCCTGAGTCACGACGTCCCTCGCATTCGCATTCAAATTCGCGGTCCTCGACATCCTCGACAAGGAGAGGCTCCCAAATGCAGCGCAGTCCTCAAGGATTAGGCCTCAAGGATCGTCGAGGAGAACGAAAATCCGGACTTTGCCCGGTGGAGAGGAGAGGAGAGGAGAGTGTGCTTGAGGAGCCTGATTTCTTCGATTCGATTCGTGAGTTTAGTTGGGCGGGAGTGCGATCGGCGATTCGGGCGTGTTGGTGAGGGCTGAGGTCAGGCGGAGAGCGCTCACTGTGGACAAGAACAAGAATTTGAAGAAAGAAGAAAGGAGGGGATCCTTTAAATTTCTAGATAGGGGGACTCGGATCGTCTCTTCCTCGGATTTGGGCGTGTACTTACATGATGGGTCAAACGCGATTTAATAATAATAAGGGAGATACATATTGTACATGTAGCAGGAGATGATAATTATAAATGGGGCGTATGATATATGACTCGTTAGAGCATGTACAAGCGCCCAATGGGGCAGGGTCTGTCCAGTGTCATGGTGGCAGCGGCGATCCTAGAAAGGTGACATGCTACCCATAAACAATCCCAGTAGTAGCTACAGCCGTATGGAACGCGATTTGTATGTTTATATGGAGGTGTAGCGTTGTGCAATTGCAGATGCCATTTCTGCCGTGACAGAGGAGCTTGAGGCGAGTTGGCACCATGCATCATGGATCATGGGTCACGCGAAACAGTGATCACGACTTGCTTCCAGCCTTACCGTCTATGAAGCGAAACGAAAAGAAATAGTTTTCGGGAGAATGTAAGTATAAACCGGGAGCAGGGAGTTAGCTGTCCAGTTGACGATTCGATCAAGCGCTCTACTATGGTGGGGGTGTCCGAGTCAGGTTGAATGATGAGACGTGGTGGGTAAGCTACAATAGGAAGCAACAATGGAAGACACAGACAGGACTTATTAATGTGAACGTGGGTCCGAAGGGCGAAGGGGGTACGGGGCGAGGACGCAGTGTGTGTGTGTGAAGTGGTAGCCTCATCCCAACCTTATCCACTTCGCAGATATCGGAGATGATACACGATGGTTTGGGTATTGGGTATCGTCGGAGCCAACGATGCTCCCAGACCGACAATCGGCGAAGGTACTAGCGGCGCAGAAGGGTGAGTGCGCTGAGTGGGCGTCAGATGAACTTGACTTTCGACGAAAAGACAGTCGCCCGATGGGTGGTCTGGCAGGGAAGAGAAAGAGCCAGTTCCCATGAGCCGGGAACAGAAATAGACGCACGAAACCCGTTATCATCTCGCTCAATTAACAGCCAGGTACCTCCGAGAACACGTATCGAGCAGCGCCAGTGAGCACCACCTGCATCATACAGCAAGGCCGAACAGAACAGCAGAGAAAAAGACAGAAAACACGTCGACCGTCGACTGTCGACTGTCGCCGATATGAAATCAAAACGCCGGCGCTCGAGGAGTTGAGAAGAAAGGAGGCGAGGCGAGGCGGAAGCCTACTAACGCGTGAGGGTAAATTGAGCTCAGGTTGTGTTCAGAAGTTCGCAACGAGGCACCTAGAAGCTTCATAGAACGCTGCGCAAGCGCCCAAATCCTCGTGCCAGTGTTCGACGCCATATCAGGCCTCGGGACAAAACCAAAACCAAAACCAAAACCAAAACCACTCGTCTCATGGTACTGATACCGTGTTTGGGGTGCTGAGGTTCTCTCTTTCTCCAGGGCCGTCGGTGGCGGCACGCACTTTGAAAACTGCAGCTTCTGCGAGTCTCCAGGACTGTGGCCGTGCGGTTATATGGGCGTCAAGCAGCAAATGAGCTCGGACAAGAGCACCTCCGGCCCCCGAGCCTTGCTGTACACTCTTGATAATGTGCAATCGTGAAGGCAGTCAATAAGTCGGTGTCTCTCACGCGAAGTCAGGATGGAAAAGAAGTGATACGCACCGCTACTGATCATGGATTGGAAGTGCTGCTGTAGTCCCAGGAGGGTAGCTTAGTAGTAGCGATTCTGAGCGAAGGCAGGCAGAGCATCGTGATTGGTGCATGGATGGCAGCCTGGACTGTGGATAAATCGAAGGCTATGCAACGTGGGACTCCAGACTTGTGAGTGAGTGCGACCTTCAGACTGCAGCGACCATGCATTTGACGCAGCGCATTGGCAGCCACCATTTTCAGTCGGTGGCGTGAAGGTAGCGCACCAAGTCTAACGTGTTACGGACTAGTTTCCGCCGCCTCACGTGAGGGCGCGGTTACCCAATGCGGGTATGATGATCGGAGCTGATCGTGGAAATTCCGGTGGGCGTCCAAACACTTAATGGACCTTGTTGCTGACACGATGATCCCGATAAGACATTCGAAGTTCTCGGCAATAGAAGCGTCGTTCTCATGATCTATCAATCTCCAATAACTCGGCTCCCGAGTTAATATATAGGAAACGGAGTCAATGGTATATGTATATATCTGCGGTAGTAGTACCAGCACTCCAGCAGCAGCAGCAGCAGCAGCAGCATGCCTCCTGAACGCCGACAGAGTGTCCCCGAGCCAGTGAAGGTCGACTCGTCTGAGGACCGGTTCCCCGACATCCCGAACGTTGGGTCCCCAGGACGGATGGCAACCGCCGACCACGCGTCATTCTCGGACGAGGAAGAGGACGAGGTGATACCCCCGACCCATGACCACCGCACGCTCGTGCTGTGCTTCGACGGTACCGGTCAGTCTTGTTTTTTTCTGTCGCGTTTTGGGTTTTTGGCGTTATCTGGGATTGCTGACCGGGTGTTGTTCGTTGTTCGGCAGGCGACCAGTTCGACGACGATGTCGGTGTTTTGGATAGTTTTTTCTGATGGCGTCGCTCACGGCTACACATGCTGCAGAATTCGAACGTGGTCAATCTGTTCTCGATGCTGAAGAAAGATAACCCGAGGAAACAGTTAGTTTATTATCAGGTACGGAGAATACCGTCGACTCTAGCGCCACTCTAACGGGTACGGCGGCTCAGTCGGGAATTGGGACGTACAACATCCCCCAAATCGCGAAGCCGATGATGGCGAAGTTAAAAAAGACCGTGGATAGTATGCTGGGCGTGCACCTTGACGCCCACGTTATGAGTGGGTATGAATTTTTGATGCAGAATTGTGAGTTGTCGTCCCGCCCTCGCTTGTTCGTCGTTGTGGTGACTTCAGGCGTGTGTAGATGAGGCTGGAGATAAGATATGTATATTTGGATTTTCCAGAGGGGCGTACACCTGTCGCGCTCTAGCAGGCATGTAAGCAGATGCTCCCCGCCTAGACGTACTCATTCCCCTATCTAACCCCTCCAACAGGATCCACAAAGTCCGTATTCTGCAACACACACCGTCTTCCTTCCAAGGCTAACCTCGCGCACCGTAGGTCGGCCTCCTCCCAAAATGCAACCATCAACAAGTCCCCTTCGCGTACAAGATGTACAAACGCGAAGACGAGAAGGGGTGGAAGATGAGCTCCATGTTCAAGAAGGCGTTCGCTATCGACGTTGATATTGAGTTTGTCGGCGTTTGGTGAGCGTTTGATTTTTTTTTGGAGAGTGCCTTGTCGGCGATGCTGAGGAAGCGGCAGGGATACTGTAGGGTCCGTCGGTGTTATCCCGAGACGACTCCCGTTCACGGCGTCCAACACTCATATTAAGTATTTCCGACATGCTATTGCGCTTGATGAACATCGTGCCAGGTACGCTTATCGCGCAGCGTGACGCACTGAACTAAGCCACATCAATTAGGTTCCAACCAAACTTCTTCCATCGCCCCCTTGACACCCACAAGAAACTCGGTGTGCAACCCGGCGAGATGCCCAAGTCGCGGCCCAAAGACCACAGCAGGAGACCCTCTCTCAAGGAACTCGAACGCAAATACACCGAAGTGTGTTTCGACACGAATGTGGAAGAGGTGTGGTTTGCTGGCTGCCACTGTGGTGGGTGTCCCTCTCACTCGATGCACTTCCTCCTGTATCGCTTACGGTTGGCTCCGCACGATAGATGTCGGCGGCGGCGCGGTCCTCAATGAGACGCGAAACGCGCTAGCGCGCATCCCTCTTCGCTGGATGATCCGCCAGTGTTTCCTCGTTGACACAGGCATCATGTTCCACCGCGCCAGCTTCAAGAAGATTGGGATGGACCCAGACAGTCTCTATCCCTACGTCAAACAACGCCCCCCGATGATCACACACCCATCCGCCTCTCTTCCTCCCTCTCCAACAACAGTAAACTCGGGACACTACCCCGCTCCGCTAATCGGGGGCGAAGATTTCATCAGCGAAGAGGACGAGGACCTTGCTGATGCGATGAGCCCGATCAATGATATGTTGAAGAACCTCAAGGCGTGGTGGCTGCTCGAGGTCGTCCCTTTGAAACGGCGCTGGCAGCAGGACGATGATTCGTGGGCTAGGAAGCTCTCGTAAGTGTCCGCGACCCTTCACTTCGTAATTGTAGCTGACCGTCATGATTCACAACAGGGTTAATCTTGGACGCGGGCGATACGCGCCGAAGCAACACGTCGATCGCAAACATGTAATCAAACTGCACAGAACGGTCAAGCTACGCATGGACGCCGCACATATCAACTACAAGCCCAAGGCAAAATGGGCGAATGTCGAGCTGTACTGGGTAGATTAAATGATCCGTACGCCTCCATCTCTTTCCGATGTATCTGTATCTTTCTGGTCATCTATGAAGAGGGTTTAATTGCTTGTTCATTTTGTGTTGTATGAGGCGGCGGACCGGCGGCCCGCATTCCGCCGTTTCATTATGCGAGCGGGGAAGATGCGGGGATGCGACTGGGGGTTCGTCGGGATGCTACAGGCTGCTACACGAGATGTGAGGTACTGCTGGCCTATAAACACCGATCCACTCCGCGTGGACGGCATCACATGGGCTTGGTTGTCTCTCTTTCCGTCCGCCGTCCCGTTGCTAGTGTTGTCGATGTGCCCGTAAATTCGTATAAATGCAAGCCCTTCGAAAGCACTCCCCTTCGTTCGTTCGGCTCCTACCTCGTGCCTCCAAGTGGACCCACCTTACGGCCTCTGAGTGCTACATCACGATGCTTCTCACAACAGTCTTCTCCGCCCTAGCCTCATATGTTTACATTGCCCACGCCTGGAAAGTCTTCGAAGTTCCCCACGTCGATGGACAGGACGACACCCCAGCGCTCGCGGCTGCCTTGGCCAACTTTACCGCAGATTCCACCATCCTATTCAAAAAGGGCGTCACGTATAATATCTTCACGCCAATCACGTTCCCCGTTTTCACAAACGTGGAAGTGAGGATTGAAGGCAATTTGACGTACCCTGAGGATATTCCCACTGTACAAGGTGAGGATAGGCTCAGCGTGATGATCATGGGGGCCTGGATTGATATCATTCCTTCTGCTTCTAGCGATCGTTGGGTCCTCGGTATGTTTGGGGTACTTGTTACACGTAAGCGGGGCTGACTCTACTCGGAATTCTCAGAGCTTCTCAGGCCAATGGTTCGTGTTGCCGTTGCTCCGAATGCCCCTTAGCGTCTAAGGGATCCCCTATAGGTTCAGCTTTTCCGGTGGTACCAATGTCACCTTGCGAGGGTCAACTGACCCACACTGGGGATGGGTGGATGCTCACGGGCAAGCGGTGAGGACATGTCAATTTCATATATCACCATTCTGACGATCTTCGTCCAAGTGGTGGGATGCCATGGAGCAAACGAACCGCCCGCATGGCTGGGCGTTTAAGAAGATAACAAACGGCGTCATCCGGGACATGAAGTTGTGGAAGGTGAGTACTATTGATGAACTCTGCCTTCGCCTTATCAATGACTGCTTATGATGCCATCCGCAGCCAATCGCCTGGAGCTTCTCAACGAGCGGCTCGACAAACTTGCACGCTTTTAATAATAAGATCGTGGCGGTATCGAATTCTCAGGTGTGTATTCTTGTTCGTACTTCTTCGCCTAGGGAGTTCCGCTTATCGGGTATTAGGGCTTCCCATTCAATACGTGAGCAGCCAAACTGGATGGCATCGTCGGGGTTGATTTACTAAATGTATACATCTTCTGGCTGTTTGACGGAACAGTGATGGTCTAGCCTCTTTCCATCCCGAGATGCCGACATTGTTCTAATATTGTGTCTAGGATTCTCTGCTGGTGGCACGAACATGCTCTTCGAGAACAACTGGATTCAGAACGGTGACGATTGCATCACCGTTGGGAACGGTGCGAAGAACATTCATTTCCGGTACGTCCTAAGCGCCATTGGATCATCCAACGTCTTGGAAGGCCAATCACATCCACGGCAGAAACGCCTATTGTGAAGGTGGACACGGTCTCTCGATTGGCTCCCTCGGGAAAGGAGGCCAAGTCGCTGACGTCCAGAATGTGTTAATCGAAAATGTTGTAATGGTAAGCTGGAAGAATCCGCCTCATTGTCATTGGCTCGTCTGTGATGTTACCCTCTACAGAAAAGCTCCCTTTACGGCGCTCGATTCAAGAGTTGGACGGGTGGGCAAGGTCTTGCCCGAAAGTAGGGACTTGGTCTCGACGTTACGAACATATCTCTTATTTATTCACCCATCGCAGCATCACCTGGAAAGATATCGCATTCATTGACGTACCATTCCCCGTATGCCTAACATGCTTCTCTTTCCTTTGCATTGCATATGCTGACGCCAACGACAGATTTACATCACGCAAAAGTACGTTCGGATATTTCTAGACGCAATTCGACATGATGTTAACCTCTGTCTAGCTACTGGGACCAAGGTGTACGTGGTAGTTTTCTTGTTGGTGCTATCCGATCCCTTACTGGTTGCTTACAGGTCGGACCAAAACCAAATGGCACTGGCACTCTAAACAACACACATATCCAAGATATCACCTTCAAGAACTTCGCGGGAACTATCAGAGAGTACGTTCTAGACAATGTCATCTCCTAATCAAACACTGAGGTCACCGTCAACCCGTAGTAAACCCTATGTCGAAGGGTCTTGCGTGACGGATCCTTGCTGGTAAGCCCATCTTCGGTGTCATTACACCCGTTGGACTCACTTTCCCCGTATCTAGGTACGACGTACCAGGTGCGACAGGACGAGAGGTTGCTATTTTCGACCTGTACCCCGATACTGGTCAGTACCTCCCTCCCCGCGTTCCGAATATACCCATTCATCAACACCTTGATTACCCCCAGCTGTAAATGTCGTTGCCCAAAACATTGTAGCAAAGACCCAGACAGGTAAGCCGGTGTCCGTGATGTGCGATCCCGCTACGGTCAGTATTTTCTTCCTCTGTTCGCTCTATTCTTCACCAGGCTTGACAATGGTTCTTAGGTTGAAAACGACGTCGGGTTCGTATGCCAGAACGGTCGGTTTGTCCCAACGACAGCGGGTCTCGCTCTACCGTTTTGAACATGGCTGTAACATATGCCAAAAAGTGCTGCAATATTGCTGTATCTACGTATTGGTAGCATGTGTGTACTACGATATGTGGAATAGTCAAGGATTGTTCATAGATGCAGGTGCTGAGATTGTTCACGAGTGTTCTACTCTAAACGAATACTATCATCATTATGCCGTCTTCGCTATTCCGTCCGCGGCGAGTTTCGTCATTTGCCAATGTCCTTCTTTGTCCTTCTTCCTGACGGTGAAACAAGCTATGCCCATGTACTCCGTGATATCGTTGATAACGAGCACGCAGAACCGCGCGTACGCGAAGAAAGACAACGCCAGAGTGGTATAGACGAAGAGTGCGACGTTGTGCGGGCTCGACTGGATGATAGGTGGTCTAGGATAAACGTTTAGAATGCAAACAAGACACGAAAAGGACCTAGACTGACCGTCCCAGAATAAGAGGAAGGTTGGCATCAACGGCACCTACGAAACTCCACATCCACATCCAATCCCACATGGGGAATTCGGAACTGGTGACATGAGCTAGGATCATACGCCCAACGGTATGGGCAAATTGCAATCCCCAAGCACATAGGAAGGGGACGAATATGCGAGAATGGATGATGACGGAATTGTAGTACGAAGGAGAAGCCAGCCAAATCACTTGCAGGGCTGCGGAGAAGACGTATGGAAGCAGGCCTAGCAAGGGTCGAGTCGTGGATTTGTTGGCGGAACGGGTTGCACGCCATACGTTCGCATAACTGCACACCATCAAAGTTAATCAGTGGGTCGAGGGGAAAAGAGGGTTCGAATGACGAACCTGGATGCGATGTTGAAAGCAACCCCGAAGGCACCGAAGACCATGAAGGATTCATTGAGGCCAATGTTAGGGATGTTCTGTTCGAGAAACGGAATTCGATCCAGACGCGTGAACGTCAGGATCCCAACGTCCCAGAACTGAGGACCATATATCCCCGAGATGACGTAGATGCCAACGATCAGGAGAATACCCTCCACCGGACCAGAGAACGCAGCCAGGTACAGCTGTCCGGTGTGATACTCCTCCCAGGTGGTGAGATAGAAGTTCGCGAGTGTGGCCATTTGGGAAGCCACTGTCCACCATGAACGGCCAAGATTAAGAGCCTGAGCGGCGAGAATAACTTCTAACTGCACGGAATGAGCCGATAGAAGCGTAATGAGAAGGCAGAGCGTACTGTAGTATTTAAAGCATCGCAGCCTAAAGATAGCGTATCTTCAGAGTCTGGCAAAGAGGTGGAAGGCACAACAACCCCTACCATGGTCAAACATTTCGCCCAAGGGGCCTGCCATACCGGTCCGTCTAGCTTGTTTCCTGAGCACACGACTGTTCAGTAACTTCCTGCTGACCAGACGCTGTAAACATACCCATCGATAGCATCCAAAGTCTGATACATAAAAAGGCCGGCACCCCATCTAACATGTTACGTCAGAAAAAATAAGGGCATCACGTAGAGAAGAAAAGCAAGCTGCTGGGAAGGCGAGATGGTCCCGGGTCGACGGTTTCTGAGCCATATCGTAACAGCTGGCCCATCCTCCCCTCCCCTGCCCTCGCCGGAGCCAATCTGCCCCTATACAGCAATGCTGCGAGGAAACAACGCGTACGCACGTAAAATACACCCATTGAGGAGGGCCTGTGGCTCCCCCTTTCAACGTCAAGTAATTAGGGTCGTAATACAGCATCGTGAGGAAATTGAGTAGGACCAAGCAGAGTCCAGATAGCGTTATCTACATCACCTCGATCAACGCAACGCAGACAAACAGATATGCTTGAAATGCACGTACCGTATTGGGAGCAATCGTCAAAGGCCATAATGTAACGAACCAAGTCCAGAATGGATTCAAGATGTGTTTAGAAAGCAGAGATCTGGTTTTCCGGGTCAAATCCAGGTTTTGTGTGGAGAACATGAATACGCACTTGTCGACGCCCTTGTAGCTGTATTTTTTGAGATTATCCAGCGAGTGCTGGGGAATATAACCCATGGAGGCCGTCGACGCGCTATGCACGCTCTAGACGAGAGGAGTAGTGTACAGGTCGGGAGCAAACGTTCGTTCCACCTCAGAAAATGCTTCCATTCCGCTATTTGCACTTATTTGGCGTTTATGGTGAATGACCAGGGGATTAGGAGACAAGTTAGGCGAAGGTTATATGCACTGCATGGGGGCATGGCAGTAGTCACTGCAACTTTTGTAGCGAAAATCCTGAAATGTTGTTCGCTTTGACGAAGAAGTGAAAATGTGATATATTATATCAACAGCATAAATATAGTTTTACAAGGTGGAACTACAACGTTCACGGCGAATGCATGTCCAACTGATAGACTCAAAATTGGGAGGAAATAGTTCGACGTCCATGTACTTGCAACCGAAATGTGGCCTTAGATGTTCCAGATTTGGTTGGTGTTGAAGTCAGTACACTTCCAAGTCTGTGCCTGCCTGCCGTTATTGAGGCGTCCGTCGGTGAGGTCCAGGCATTGACCTTGCCAATGTTAGTAAGGGTGCGTGCACGATATGCCATGGCATAATCACCTTTATCAGTCACGGCGATACGTTGGTCATCTGTATACCAGAAATCTTGAGCCGGCAGGTTAGCGTAGCATTGCCAAATCTTCATGCCAACGCCGCTGCGAGGGTCTTTTGGGCGGAGACGAGTAAGTACTTTGACGTAAGTGTAGGTGAAGTCAAATTAACGTACTAGTTCCAGCATCAAGACAGAAATCAGTTCCGGCCAGGCGTACTTTGGTGCGGCCGAAATTGATGAGCCAGTTCTGAGCCCCCGTGCCGTTGCAATCATAACTGCATGACATACGTCAGAGATACTTTCGTGCTGTTGAGTGGCGTAAACTTACATTTGCACGGGCGTGCCGTTGGCGCGAATATTGCCCCTAACGTCAAGGCACTTGTTGTCACGATAATTTGGGTGGAGGCGAACAGTCGTTTCGTTCGGCGGTGGAGCAGTCGATGTACTGGTGGCGGTTGATGTTGCCGTATTGGCAGAAGATGTGGCTGAAGACGACGCCGTCGTAGTGGTGGAAGTAGTGGTAGCGGTTGAAGTAGAGGTCGAAGTAGAGGAACTGGTGGAAGATGTAGTGGTGGACGTCGAGGTGGAGGTAGTCGTAGCCGTACCCTGGCGTGCTACAATGTCGACATGGGCGGACATAGCCAACGTAGCAGCGATGAGAGCGAGGAAGACTTTTTGGTACATCTTTGCAAGTATGGGAGTTTGAACAGGTGAGTGAACGACCCGCCTCGCATGCGAGATTTATGTAGCCCGCATCCTCCTGACTAGCGAGCGGAATATACGGACGGTTTAACAAGGAATAATGCATGATCCGCACCTTAATTCGCTATCCGCCTCCCGCCTCCCGCTCTTGAGAAGCTAGGTATGCCCCTATGTATGATAGGGGCGGCATTCATTGCGGTGTGTTACCGCCAAAAATACATCGCCAGCGGGTGTCTCTTCAAATCAGGGGGCGTGAAACATGTCATCGTGGAGCGGGTTTCTGAAGCCGTAGAGAAAGCTAAGGCAAATTGAGTAGACTTGTCGGTCTTCGGATATCCGGGATTCCGACTCAAGGATGAGCTTAACGCTAAACAAGGATGTCTTCGCCGGCGGCATGGCCACCCCATGACATAGCTAAACCCGAATGTTCCACCTATCCACATTGGCATCCGCTGCACGAGAGAAAGCCTCGATACATGATGTACGGCAGTTAACGCCGGGACGGTTCAGTCTTTCTGTTTGCACCTCGTCAGCAAGCGCGAATGATATCATGTCTTTGCAGTCGTTTGACCAGGAATCTTGTTCGTGCCGTAAGATGCTTCGAGACCTCTCAGGCCAGGCACTCGAACCCCATCAAAACGAGGGATGACGTAGCCAAACAGAGAGCGTAGGTTACGAAACTGATTGTGGCTCGTACACCTTACCCTACTGAGTGAAAGGAGAAATGCTATCACACACTCACCGGGGCCGTTATAGCGTTGAGGTTGAGCTCGTCGCCGAATAGGATAGCACGTCGCCAGTCGAATATGTTGAAGCTCGCGTGTGACTAGGCCATGGAGATAAAATGAACAATCTGCGGGGGGCGGTGGCGGTGGGCCAGAGTGACCACCACGCGCATGAGTAGTATAGCCCCCACAATTCGGATTACTTACGGTGATTCATTGCATCCGCAGCCAACTCCTTTGGCCCCGTGAGCATGCGAACGGGAATCGTCAATCATCTTGCTTTGAGATCCACGGAGTCATGTATATGGAAAATACGAATAAGAATATAACGATATATCCTGCCACGTTCACATAGTGGCACCGTGGATATACCAGGGGGTGGTCCTCAGACACGCGGCATTACCAAATTGGCATGTTTTGGGTTTAATAATGGCGCGTCAACTAGATAAGCATTCAGTGCTTCGTGATCGTTGAAAAATGCAAAGGCTGTATTGACTTCCCCTTCCATTATTTGGATCACTATAAAATCCGCTTCCTGGGGATATAAAACCTGCCTCATAACAATCAGCAAACCACATTCGAGGTTCCTCTTCTTACCGAAAAGCACCGCACCTATGTCTGAGGTCCGTCGAGGCTGTTATACGCGACGCCAGCTCATCCCTATCTCCCCCTAGATCTCCATCACCACGGACAACTACTCGCGTGACGAGAGTCCACCGCAGATCCAGTGCTCTGTCTGTGGTGCCGTAGGCGGGGGGCACACCAAAGACTGTCGAGCAAAGTAACCGTCGCTTGTATGTATCCGGATGCTACGCGACGCTTGCCGCGCTAATGTGCTTTCTCCGTGTAGATGCCGCGATCGGAACCAGGAAATATGCTCGCGCCGTCCAATCGACACTCACCTTGTGGGAACGATCCAAGAAGAACGCTTTCTTGATCACCCAAAGAAACCTATTATTGCCGCCTGTTCAGTAAAAATTGGTTAGAACCTATGTACCACTTTCTCTGGGACTTGTACATACATACCTCGTGCTGAGCATCCGCAGCGTCAGCACCTCGCTGATTCTGCGATGCGACCAGCCGAGTTCCTGGCTTTTGATATGTGATAGCTTAAGCACCTCCGCTCTTTAGCCGCAGTTGTATCATGAAAAGTAGATGGTGGTCAGTCGCATGATGTGCGTGTTGGCGAGAATGAGGCTGTGAGTAAGGTGATACTAAGCGGTAAATTCGGAACTAGCGCCACATCTTTCAATTTGACCGGCGCTTGAAAATGGGGGTCACATGACTAAACGTTGCGCGTCCTAACGCGTCCTGCTCTGCTTGTACTCCTCCATGACTTCCATCGACGGCGTTCAGCTACGCGACCACATCAATGGGCTCCTTCTAGAATACGCTCTGACCCATATAACTACTGATTACATTCAATTCACTGAGGCTGCTGTTTCTCATGTCAGTCGAGTTATTCGTCATCTGCTCTAGCATTGATGAATATATCCATTGGCAATGGCAGCTGTTGTCTGATTTGCAGATAATTCCGGCTCATGATCCAAGATCTTTGGTTCTCCCCGTTGACCCATTCGAAACTTTGACACGAACATATCGGCTTACTGACCTGAAACCGCACGAAGAACGATGGACGACCAGTGCGGCAGAGACCCTGCAGTACTTGAAATCTGCGGTAAAAGTGCCGCGAGGATTATCAAAATCAGAAAGAGCTTGGTTGGATGATGGCGACGGTGAGCTGCCACGATCTTGTGATCTTCGCTTCGCTTGACCATGGGTAATAGATAGAACGCATATTACTCAGTATTTCTTGGATGAGCCTCTCCTCTCACGGAAAGCACGGAGAGAAACACCTCGACTAGGCGAAGGCACAAGAACCACATTGGTACCTTCATCTCTCCTTCAAACAGTCGACGTTCCAGCGATTGTGGAGCCTCCGCAAAATATCGATCATGTCCTGTAAGTCTTATCTCTTTCCTCTAAGTGAATCGCGATGTGCTCCCTCGCTACGCGTGTCAATTAAGAAGGCCTGTTTGAACAATACGGCCTTTCAACTGTTCATTTACATGGGAAGAATGCGCATCACTGTCGGTTTCTGATACCCCAGTCTAACCCACATTTGTTCCTCAGTAATCTGCGTGTACAGCTTACGACTGCCATGCTTACCTCAGTCAACGAACTGTGCAAATCGACTCAAGCACTGGGACAAAAGAAACCAGGACACCCGGATAAACTATGTCCGCCGATGCTCGACCTTTCACCGTCAAATGCTTACTCCCCTTTCGAGCCAATATTTCCCCGCCATCACCGCCTGGGTGGTGTGCCAGCCAGTACATCGCCGCGACACGGGGCCAAATCGTATGCAGACATCGAGCTATCTACCGCTCCCACGGAAAGCAGCGATAACGATCTCCACATTAGCAACCTAGCAGTGGTGAATGGATGGGGTAGCTCTCGGCAATCTCATCCTTTGTCGCAACTATACTCACGTGTCTACGAAACAGAGACGTACACGGCTTCTTCTCCGTCCAGCCCATCAACGCCCATGTCAGATGAAGAAGATGAACTTGACCAGTTATTTGAAATGTCATCTCCGACGACGGAGCCTTTCCCTATCCAGAAGGTCATGGACGCAAAAATGGGTGCGCATATATGATTGCATTCACTGCCTCGTCGCTGAGTGATGCACCGTTTTAGATGAATGGCTGATTCCTCGGAAGGATCAACCCGGTGGGACGTACGATAAACCTTTCGCGCTGAGTGGACATCAAACGTAAGCCCATGTTACTTATTATTACGAACCTGGATATTAAACGGCTTCAGGCTTGCCTCCGTGTTACCATTTGTGCCGCAAAAGGGCATTCCTGGGGACCTCGGGGCGAAATCAGAAAAACTGCGGAAGAATCGCTCGCCAGAAACGGCGACGTCAATGATAGGCTTGCCACCTTCATCAAGTCCGGCAAATGAGTGTGGAAGCGACGACTCCCTCAATGTGGATCTGCGTAATATATGCGGTGGTATTGATAAGCAGGACCCGAAAGACATGATTATGAAAGAACAGCTCGAAGAGCAACCGTTCAGGGATTCGTTCATGGACGGTTTGTCAAGAAATTAATGTCGTGGACCTGGCTCACATTTCTCCTAGTACCTATCCTTCCTCCCCCGAATATTCATGCGCCGCACGAAACTTTGATTCCTATCGCGTTGAGAAGCCTTCTTGTCGCTCAGAAGCCTAAGAATGCCGCAAGCGCCAAGCAAGCTACTCCACGCCCTGATCATGAATTCCTGACAAAATGCAAGGGGATGTTCAGCCTCAATACACGGCTGTCGTGGAGGTGGGCTTGTACCTGCATTTCTATGTTTCTCGACCGTTTACATATGTTCTGACTGTCCCTTAATCAAATTTTTAGCCCGTGGACGTCTGATACAAGGATTCCGACGAGCGAAGAGCTCATCAATGAGTTAGATCATGCCACGGCACATTTGGAGTATGATAAAACCAGCGTGGATCGACTGTTTCTCCAGGCTCTGGCGGTGGATGAGTTTGACACCAAGGAGCTTGACCATTGGACCTGGAATTCTGACGACCACTCGCCCGACACCCCTTTAGCACTTCATACCGAGTTCGCTGACCTGTCTGAGGCGATTTTGACGAGACAAGAAAGACGACGCGTCGCCGGCTTGGACCCATATGCAGGATTTGATGTTGACGACATCGAGGCTGAAACTCCCGACTTTCAAACAAGTGAACTAAGAGCAACTGCCAAAAAAAAGCATCCCTTGCCGACAACTCTAACAGACGATGTCGACTCACCGATTGTAGCTAAACGACGAGCAACCGACGACAATATGGACTCTTCTGCGACACACCGGCCCGTGGACGTGGACGACACTGAAAAGAAAGACAATGGTTACCGTGGCCCTAGGTTGAGCAAACGCCGAAGAACTGATAGCTGGCCGGCTAGCATCGACGACTCTGGTATTGGACTGGAACCCTTCTCGCTTTTGAATCATGCTGGTGCCTCCTCTATAAATCCAGAATCCAGCAGGGCAATTGCATATGAAGACGAGGACCCTCGGGCGTCGCATCCGCTTATCTGGTCGCAGGGCAACCGGCAGAGCAACCCTCCTCCGCTTCTTGCTGGCAACCTCGAACCTGAGCGGCTATCTCCTTTACCTGCCCCATCGCTGCGTTCGGCTGACCACAACCTGGAAGTAGATATCCCCATTGAAAGCCTGACGGTTGACACTCGGGTGGACGGATATGGAACCCTCCCAAAAGAGCAACCTGCTGGCCGACTGAGGTTCACTGACGATTTCTCAGAGGCCTTCAGGGAATCATGCTTCTCGCGCGTTCTAGGGCCTGGTCTTTTCGCGAAACTGCGGGCCAAGAAGGTTTCCGAGCCTATTGAACAACCACAACCTCCAACTCCAGCCCCGAGGCCTGCGTCAGCACCTCAAGCCGAGGTTGACCGCGAATTCCATGGCGTACCGGAAGAACTGTGTGATCCACAGACAATCCGTTTGCCACCGGGCCTGAATCCGCCACAGACGACTCACCGCTATTTGGCATCACTGGACGTCATTCAAAAACAGGTCCTGGTACGCTCTCTTAGAGGGGATACTGCGCTAATTCAACTGGTGGAACGAGAAAGCCTGAATGGTGCACATCTAATTTTGGATCCACACTCCGCTGTCCTGCTGGTCCCTCTACTTGCGCTGCCGTCGGAATGCGATCGTATATCTACGCTGATCTCCCAACAATCTTGGTGTTACTCACAGCTTCTAGTTGTATTCGAGGCATACCCCGCGTCGCTGTCCCACCGTGAACACAAATCGACTATAGATGCTTATACGCCTCCAATCCTCAAGGCTGTGAAGAAACTCCGACGCGATCTTGGTATAGCGGAGGCTTGCGTAACGAAGAATCATGAATGTGGGGTATTTTGGGCCTTCGCTGATTCTCCTCAGGATGTCGCAGTCTTTGTCCGAGTGTTTGGGGATTCTGTGGAGGCTAGCGATCAGTCGCAAGGAGTTCTTTGGGGCGATCGTGGCTGGCTCAGCGACGATACTCTAGAGGTGCGAATTCGTTGCCTTTCTCTGCTACGCCCACCTAACTCCCAGAAACGTGCAGAACGAGAGTGACTTGGCATCTATATCCGGGATGAACCCTTTTGCAGCCTATGTTATTCTTTGTCATGCGAGTTTGGACGAGTTCCTTGATATGGGTCCGGACGCTCGCAGTGAAATGTTTGGGGCGTTTGTTGGTCATGACCGACTTGTGAGTCTGAATGATGTTTATGGGGCTTTGACTGAAAGTGTCCGCAGACGCGTTTGAATCAGTTCATTGAACGCCGACTTGAAGAAGTCAACGCCGACTCGTCTGAAAGTGCTGGCGTCGAACACAGCTCCCCTCAACACGTCTCTTACTGACTTCGACTTTCTAATGTATTTGATGCTGTACTATTATCGTCAATTTCCCACAGTCACAACAAAATGCTCTCACGATCAATCAAAAGATATTTCAAAAGTTGAACAGCTCTCACTTGTTTCCCAACCATCATCTTCTCTTCGACGACGTGTTCAAAAACGCAACAACAATGGATGACGGTACGTTTTCAACATCACCAACCCACCACCGCCCGCCCCCGGCTCGCTCGGTCACCTTTTTGTGCTCGACTCCGAAAAATTCAATTCCGTCGACCCGTTCGCACACCCAGTATGCCAGTATATCAGTATACCGCTTCGCCTGTTGCGTCAGCATCTGAATGGCTAACGGCCGCATGATTCCTCTGCTACTCGTATTCGGTGCACGCCGAGCTGTGCTCGTGAAGCAGCTCAAAAACGAATTTTCGTAAAATTGTTGTTTGCCGCTTCGCCCGCAGTCGCCAGTTTTTTCTCAGTATTCGAGAACGGCTATGTCAGCGGCAACGATACAGCTTCGGCTCGGCTTCGGCTACACCTTCAGTATCCAGTACTCAGTTCTTCACCACCCTCCTGTTCAGTAAAAAACACTACCTCCCTCCACTTGTATATTTCCGCGATTCGATTCACCATATTCGCTATTCCCTCTTCTGCCTGCCCTCCTTCTCCATCTCCCCGTTCACTGTCCTGTTACCGTTCCCGACCCAGCGCCTGACCTCATCTCTTCATTTCCCCTCTTCTATGTCTATGTCTCGAATCCCGATGTCCCGCGCTGAACACAGCTTGGCAATCTCAAGATATGGCGCCCTCGAACACCGGGATCAGCATTCCGAACGACGCGGGGCTCGTGGGCGGGGGGAGTGCTATGGCGACGGACGACCCGTCGTGGGCGGGGAATGGGAGCGCGAATGGCGGGGCGCGCTCGCCCCCACCCCGCGACCCACCGCGCCGCTCGAGCAGGAGCAGGAGCCCCGGCGCTCATAGGGAGAAGAATGATAGAGGGTAAGTGATGACTTTCCCTATGTTCCATCAGTTTCGCGATGTTGATGGAATGGAATGATAGTGGACGCGGGGATGGGCAACACAACCCGGGCAACAACCTCCACGTTTCCGGCTTGAGCCACCGTGTTGATACGCGCGACCTCGAGGCCGCTTTCGCTAAAATTGGACGGGTACGTTGCTTTCCTTCTCCCTCTTTCCTGTCCATTCTCCAGCTTTTTATTATATATATATATATATATGACGTCTCCTTATCAACGAATTATCTCATCTGGTGTTTGTTTCTGTAGGTTCAAAAGGCGTCTGTGATGTACGATCCGCACACCCGCGAGTCGCGCGGGTTCGGGTTCGTCACGATGGAGACGGCAGAAGAGGCCGACGCCGCCATCACCGCGCTCAACGCGACCGACCTCATGGGCAAGGTCATGAATGTAGAAAAGGTCATTCTCCCTTCCCTTCCCTCCATTTACGTCTCCCCAAAGGCCGTGTTCTCATCCAATTGTACTGTTTAGGCCCGCCGCGGTCGTGCTAGGACCCCGACCCCCGGCCGATACTACGGCCCCCCCAAGCGCTTCGACGGTATGCACACCCTCCGTTTCTGTAGTTGCCCGTGCGTTTGCTGATACGAATAGACGGTCCAGCGGTAGAGCGCCCCTACGACCCACGGCCGTACGACAGCCGCTACTCGCGCGACGCCGAGCCCGACCGCCGAGGCGGACGTGGACGGCACGACGACTATCGGCGCGACGCTCGGGATGGAAGGGATGGCAGGGACTATGATCGGGGGGGATATCGGGATTATGACCGTGGTGACAGAGGCGAGAGAGGTGGGGACAGAGGTGACAGAGGGGGTTACGGCGGGAGGCATGATGACAGGGAGAGGAGGTATGATGATAGAAGGTACTGAGAGATTGTTACTTGTTCGCCGGTAACACTACGTTAATTAGTCCACAAGTTTCAATCTTTGATATGACAACTCGCTGTGCTGTGTACTCATCCTGCCGTGATTAGTGCCAAAAACAATACATAGTATATTGCTACCAGCGATTTAAGTTAGGTGAATGGAACAAAGTCCATGGTGATGATACAAGGCGACTACGGCGAAGGAAGGACTACAAAGCTCCCCATAACCACAAGATAGATCAACCATAGGCTCGGAGACTGTATACTCGGCAGCTAAAGCGCCTGAAACATAGATAGTCATGAAAAGAAAGGGGATTATATGGATGTGGAATGGTAGCAGTGCGAGGGCTGATTTAAGACCTCTCGCCACGGAGACGCCGAGCTAAGGCGAGATCCTTGGGCTGGATGGTGACACCTGGATAGAAGCGGAAGCACGGGATTAGGTAAGAGTGCCACTGCGACGGGGAGGTGATGCTTACGCTTGGCATGGATAGCGGCCAAGTTAGTGTCTTCGAACAAGGAGACGAGGTAAGCCTCAGCGGCCTCCTGGAGAGCCATAACAGCAGAGGATTGGAAGCGCAAATCGGTCTGAGGGGAAAGTGGCGTTAGTATTAGCACCATACGACTCCAGAGCATCGGCAGAGGGGGACAGCACGGTGCCGATGGCCTGAGTCGCGGTGGTCACTGTGAGAAGGCAGCTCACCTTGAAATCCTGAGCGATTTCTCGGACGAGACGCTGGAAGGGGAGCTTCCTGATAAGGAGCTCGGTCGACTTCTGGTACCTCCTGATCTCACGAAGAGCGACGGTTCCGGGGCGGAATCTATGGGGCTTCTTGACACCACCAGTGGCGGTCTATAGGGCGAGTAGTAAGCATAGCGTAGTGCGTCAGTCGGGCCCGCCACTGTCGGCACCGACGGCTCCGGCGATAGCGGTGCGTCGGGTGGCAACGGCGGGGCGATGGGGCTGATAGAGGAGGGGTACTCACTGCGGCAGTCTTCCTGGCAGCCTTAGTTGCGAGTTGCTTACGGGGAGCCTTTCCTATTTACACAAAACAAAATCAGCCCTTATCCCGCAGTTTCAGGTGGCACGGCGACGACGACGAACCTCCCGTAGACTTGCGAGCGGTTTGCTAGAGTACCGAAGGCATTTAGAGGGATATTCCATGCATTTACTAGGGAAAACATACCTTGGTTCTGGCCATTTGAGCGAATTTGCGATGAGATTTGTGTTTGTGGGAGGCGGGGTGACGGGTGGAGGGAAGAAAGAGACGAGTTGTGGCAGCGCGATTCACGAATGTTTCAATTGCAGTGACTTTCTCACGCCGCACAGGCCACCAGTTTCTGAGCCTCTTTTGACTCGGAGACTGCTCGAATCTTCAGCATTATCCGTGTTCTTTTTCTCCCCTTTTTTGGGGGAAGTTTGGTGGAAATTTAACGACGAAGGGTTGTTGGTATTGTTCTTGCGCGTGCCTCTTTTTTTGGTACGAGGAGAATCGGCTCGTGGATGGGCCGCAAAATGCGAAATACTGGGAAGACTGTCTTTTCAGTGCCAAGCCCGCGTAGATACGCACGAGGACAGGCGCCTCACAACTGATGTCAGTGGTTTGACTGACCGTGGGAATATACTTGTGAGTGTGGGAATCTAGCGCCTGCACGTCCTTCCATGACTGATTGGTGCTTTATCGACTTCTCGACATTCTTTATGCTCATCATGCAGCGGTCCGTGAGGATGCCGCGCGCTTCGCCGCCAGGACATAAATATCATGGAATGTGGCCACACCCAGAGCTTGAGCTTGATACCGCGGTGCTTTATGGGCGGTGATATATGTATGTTCCTTCACAACCTTTTCCTGTGAGAACACTCGTTTATGATCGCCCACAGTAGAAAGTTTGATAACTGTAGGTTGCAAGCTGTACCTTCTGCACCCCATGTGTCCCCAAATGCTATTACGCTTTCCATGGTCACGTTCCAAAGGGCTGCTCAGTAAAGGCACACTGCTACACCCAGGAATCGCAAATGTCTCTCACCCTGCGGGAATGATTATCAATCTACCCTATGTACTCCCTTACAGCAGCCGAGACAAGTCATGCCCAAAACATCAAACTCTGCACATGATTTGCGTATCGAAGCCTTCTCGAAGCTCACGCAGATCCTGGGGCGCCGGGACGGACGAGGCGAAGCAAATTTCACATCGCATCAGGGAGGTATTTGGTAGCTTCATATAAAAGTTAACAGCACAGCTGGCGAGATGTCTTCTTGTGTTTGTCTTCCCTTCCTCTCCCTTCTCCCGCGCTCTCGTTATGCCATTTCACGATGATGAACGAAGGCGTGAGTCAGAAAAGGCTGGGATGCTTCATGTAGATGTAGACATCGAATATGGTAGGCATACCCGTTCTGCTGGTGATATAGAGTTGTTCTGACTCGAACGCCTTTCTCGCGCAGAAATCACCCCTCCTCCCCCCAACCCGAAGAAAATACAACGCACGCCCTTACCGTGGTTCCAGTTCTCCATCCTCCTCTTCCTTCAGCTCGCGGAACCGCTGACCTCGCAGGTTATCTATCCATTCGTGCCCCAGGTACACTAGCACCACCATAGCTTGCGCGTCAACAAACTGACAATTGACGCCATAGCTCGTACGAGAAATCGGCATCACTGGAGGCGATGAATCAAAAACGGGGTACTATGTCGGTATAATGGTGAGCCATGACGCGCAATTATCTCTCATGGAGTAACGCACACTAACACCAACTTCGGTCAGCAATCTCTGTTCTTCGTAACAGAGGCCATGACCGTCCTCCACTGGAGCCGGCTTTCAGACCGGATAGGCCGTAAGCCGGTCATCCTTTGCGGACTTTTCGGCCTATCGATATCGATGTATTGTTTTGGGCTCTCGAAGACGTTTTGGGGGCTTGTGCTTAGGTGAGTAAGCACCACGAATGAATGGATGAATGGACGGATAGTCGCTAATGAATATCCTCATTGCTTGGTTGTAGCCGGTGCCTGAACGGGGGACTCAGTACGTTCTGTCCGTTTATTCCTCTCAGCTACTTGCTAAGTAAACGGTAGACGGGAATGTTGGTGTCATGAAAAGGTATGCATGGGGCGTGTGATCTCAACCATGAGGGGTGCACTAAATGGCCGTCTCAAAAGCGTCATAGCCGAGATGACCGACGAAACGAATATTTCTCAGGTAATGCTCCATCTCCGTCCATGACTTTGCATCATAATGAAGCTTCCGCCTCTGATAATAACAACAATAACCACCTAATTCTGATGCTTGCCTTTAGGCGTATTCGTTTATGCCGATCGCCTGGTCCACAGGTTCAACCATCGGCCCCATCCTCGGCGGCTCGCTCGCACACCCGGTTACCCGCTTCCCAAAACTCTTCGGAAACTCCAAGTTTTTGGCAGACTACCCGTACTTCCTCCCGTGCTCGATACCCGCGACGTTCACGATCGTAGCTTGGGTCATCACGCTCATCTTCCTGAAAGAGACGTCGCCAGTAAAGTTCCAACAACGCTCGTTCTTTTCTCGCTGGAGGCGGTTGTCTTCGAAAGCTACTAATGAATCCTCCTCCTTCGACGCCTCGCCCGTACTAGACACGCCGGAAGAATCGCGCCCAGCCGCTCCCGGCGAGGAGATCCTGCCTATGAGGAAGCTCCTCACCCGTCGCGTCCTCATCGCCTCAGGCAACTACGCCATTCTCGCCTTCGTCGACATCTCCTTCCGCGCGATCCAGCCGCTCTTCCTCTCCACCCCCGTCGCGCTCGGGGGCCTCGGCCTCGCGCCCTCCATGATCGGGCCCATCCTCTCCGTCTTCGGCGTCCTCAACGGGCTCATGCAGGTATCCTTCTTCGCGTCAATCCACGATCGGTGGGGGAGCAAGCGCGTATTCACATGCGGCATCCTGTCGACGCTCCCGGCGTTTGCACTCTTCCCGCTCATCAATCACTATGCGAGGACGGAGGGGCTGTCCATGCGCGTGTATTTTCTGGTGTGGTGTCAGATTGTGATTTCTATTGGGGTGTCTATGTCGTATGGTGAGTGCTGTGGGTGGTGATTCGTTGGGCTCGTCTTTGACGGGCGTTGCTGTCAGGCGCCATCTTCATCCTTATCTCTGAGGCTGCACCCAACCACCGCTCACTCGGCGCCGTCAATGGGCTCTCGCAGATGGCCGTCAGCGTCATGCGCGCCGTCGGTACGTTCTTTACCCCCCCCCCCCATTCTCTCGCCATGACATACTCACTGCGCTTGTACCTTCCTTCGTGATATAATTGTATTCAGGACCGATCATCGCCAGCTCGCTGTTTTCGCTCTCGGTTAGCAGCCAGATCCTGGGCGGGCGCCTCGTCTATTTCGTGCTAAGTACGATTGTGTTGGTGGCAGTGGCGGCGGCGGGGCTTCTGCCGCGCCGGGGAGGCGTGCGGCTGAGGTCGGCTTCGGCGAGTTCGGTGTCATCGGCGTCGTCTTCATCGAGTTCGCGTTCACGTTCGCGTTCGGCTTCAGATTCAGATTCGACTTGAAATGTAAAATGTAGAATTTGGAGCGTAGGGTGGAGAAGTGAAAGTAGGAATCAAGGTTAGATTGTGTATGTAGACTGTAGATCCGGTTTTAGATGACAGCCCCCATCTTGTTCAGACATTCGAATTCGAATATCGTGAACAAGTCGGATCAGTCTACCGTTAGACGTTGTATCGCCGCTCGTCTGGTTAATGGTATTTTGGTCGTCGAAGGAGCTCTTCGGCAGGGGGACTCATTTGATGCTGGTGCTGACGGCTCCGTTTGAATAGATTATAGGCCGCCTCTGCTCCTGGTCTGCTCCCGGGGCCTGCTCGCAACTTGCAAGCTTTGACGCCTTCACGAGCAGGGCGACTGTGATCTAGGCAGCGTCCGGCACCCACCAAGCACCCACTAATTCTAACAACAGGCCGAAGCCATATCCCCCACGAACGTTCGGACACCGAAGTGGGCGAACCGGAGAAGAACGCCTCTTCCTTGATCCCCCCCTTCTACGAATACGAAGGCGTTCGCGTCGGGCCTATGTTCTCCATCGTGCTGCAGCTGGCAGAGACGTTAGGAATGACTTCTTCCGCAACCTACCTGTCCATCTCGTAGGTGATGCTTGCGAGAGATTTCAGCGCGACGGGAGACTCTCATGCGATGCGATGGAGCAAAGGCGGGATACTAGTACCTCGGTATCCTGATGCATTTCTTTGACCCATGTACGCAACGCATGCTAGCGGGGGACACTCTTGAAAATCAAGCTACCTCCTATTTCTTGATGGGAATCTCTGCTTTCTGTCGCAGTCCTTCGCTGGAGTCGGCTACCTGGATGTATAGGTTCTCACAAAGATGCAAGGACAGTCCGTGTACATGTTGGTAACCTCAGCCTCGAACGCTAAAGTTCTAGCGGTCAACCTTCATAGCGAAATGAGATAACTACCACCCCGGCACTGGTGCTAGTGAGAGCGTGAGGGCGCACAGCGACTGTTTGTCACAAACTCGCGCTTCTCATCAAGCAGAGGGTGCTCCAATTAAGTGCCATTCGGTTGATGTCTACGTGCATCAACTCAGTCTACTGCGAGATTTTGAAAACAACGTGGGGATGTGAGTGACTGCTTTCTGGCATCTTGGTGTTTCTCCCATTTGACATCAGGGTGGTCCCGCCAAACAGTGAGGGACCACCTAGTACTAAATACCTTTTCTTCACGAGGCTGTTCTTGATGTCAAGGCACCAAGGATTCGCAGCTGGAGAAGAGTGACGGGGAAAACTCTGGCGCTTGCATCGTTTGGGAAGAGGCGTTGCAATTGTTGCTGTTGCCGTCGTCGTCGTTGTTGAAACTTGATCAGGTTTGTTCCATTCCGCCCGCCTTTGGTCACATGATGATCGTCGGCAGTTCGGGAATCAACCTTCACTTTCTCAAACTCTCCCTCGAAATATAAAATCGCAAGGACACACCAACATCTTACAGTGACCGGGACGCGCCCTCATCATGGCCACTGTCCTCCCTGTGGAGATTGCCCGAATGATTACGGATTATATACAAGACAAGAAGACCTTTCTCAATCTCCTTGTTACAACACGCGCCTTTCGTCTCCTTGCCGAACCACACCTTTAGACGGACGTCTCCTTCCTCGGTCCCATCGGCCAAAATCACGCTCAGTTCAAATATCCCTCGGAGGCTGATCTATTGGGTGCGTCCGGCAGCTTTCTGGACGGTATCACCGCAGGCGGCGGCCGATGCGCCCGTTATGTCAAACGACTCTATCTTCCTGGCTCAGGCTTCCTACAGAGGGAGCTATACAAATTGCTCCAGACGATCCTACAGGCGCTTCCCAATCTGGAAGACTTACAGGTTCATCGTTCGTGGTGGATGGTATTTCCATTTGGTTTCAACCTGCAAGCCCTCTTTGAATCACCGCCCCCATTTCAATTACAAGGCTTCGGGTGGTATACACCAGGAAATCTAGACAGAGTCGGATTAGATTGGTTCCTCTCCCATCAAATATCTCTGGAGCGTCTATTCCTTCCATCCTTGAACACGTCGCCATCTCCCTTCACTCCGACTCTTCCGAGACTTCGAATACTGCATGCTTTGGACAACGTAGCCGCAAGAAGGTTCCTCACAGGAAACCAAGTAACGCAGTTGAAGCTAGAGCGGGACGATATTCATGAACTCGATGATACTACTCTTCGCACTGTGGTCTTCTGCGTTTCACGGTTTGCATTATTGGGTAGCCTCTCAACAGTAGTTGCGCGGATGCCAAACTTAGAGCGCTTAGAAATAAATGCCTCTGCCGTAAGCCTTCTACTCCTCCGCTGATGAACAAGTGTACTTATTCCGCCGTAGCAATCAATCCCTCTAACCCTCGTTCGGCTTGCTATGCTCAAAGGTGCGGCAAAACTACGACACTTGCGTATCTTGACCTGCGAGACCGTCACTGGACGCACACATGTTGGGGAATCGCCCTGGGACTACAGGGACGTGGCCATTGCGTTCAATAGTCTTCCCTCCCTCACACACATGACCGTCCAGCTCACGTACGCTCCGAGTTTCCCTGAGTACTACTGCTTTGCCAGGGGGGCTGCGCGGCCGGTGAAGCTTCGCTCGGTCCGTCCAGCGCCCGAATGGTGGCAAGACGACTGGGTTGATGATTATGTGGTCGTCCCCTTTGAGCCGGGCGATAAGCGAATGGGGTATACGGGTCATCTCCTTCATGCAGCCCGCGAGGTGCTGCCCATATCAGTTGAATCGCACATATCGTGACAAAAGTCTCAGGGACGTCCACTTTCTTGTCTTTGAAGCTTGCACTATCAAATTTGTGCATCTCCATATCCGTCTACTTAGTACTCAGTCGTTTGGCGGCGCAAACCATGTATATCGCAGACACACCTTTTCTGTTCGACATCGTATGTTTTCGCCATGAGCTTCTTGTGGATCTCATGGAGCAGCCAATGAACTGAGACATTCTTCTCAACGTCGATTTCCGTGAAAAACAGTCGCTCTGCTGGTAAGTAGCACCGGAAGCTGAGTGTCATATCGAAACCACGACAACCTACTATTGTGAGAAGCGCTATTGTCAAGGATACCAAGTAACAAACTCTTTACAGTCTTATCCTACGTGACATGGCCGCCTTAATTCCTGTGGAAATCGCCCGAATTATCGCTGGATATCTCAAAGACAAGCAGTCTCTGCTCAACCTTCTCTTAGTGTCGCGTGCCTTCCATCTTCTCGCCGAACCGTATCTTTATAACGATGTCTCTTTTTGTCAACAAAGAGAACACACGATTCATAACTTCTTACTTGGTCTCACCGCATCAGGCGGTCGATGCACCCACTTCGTCAAACGACTTCGCCTACCGATCATCCCCCCACTGCGAAGCAGACTATACACATCGTACCAAACAGTCTTAACCTTGGTGCCCAATCTCGAAGATCTACAGTTCTACCCTTCACGGTCGACAGGCTTACTCAAGAGATTCGATCTTCAAGACTTCCTAAATGGACCGAGTTCGCCACCAGCGTTTATGCTTAAACACTTTGCGTGGCATTCGCGCTGTTCGCTGGACAGCATCGGGTTGACTTGGTTCCTAGCCAGCCAGAAATCCCTTGAATGTCTATCCCTAATGACATTCCACGCTGCTGATGCGATCCCGACCCTCCCCAAGCTTCGTGTACTCCATGCGTTGAACCTCGCCGCCGCAAGAAGGTCCCTCGAAACAAATCAGGTCACACACCTGCGGATAAACAATTGTACTACTTCCCTGGACCTCAACGATGCCGCCCTTCTTAACGTTGTAGTCTGTGTTCTTTACCTGGATACATTAGAGGAGCTCTCAGAAGCAGCCGTACGGATGCCCAACTTGGAGTGCTTTGAGATAAATGTGCTCTCTGTAAGCCTTCCATTTCTTACCATTTATTCCTCCCCGGTTTATTCTGTCCTAGTCACCAATCCCCACAACCCTCTCTCGACTTAATGTGCTCAAAGGGGCCACAAAGCTGCACCACTTGCGAATCCGGACCGCCGTCCCCCGCCACTGGCAGGACCATCCTTGGGATCACAACGACGTGCTGAAAGCCTTCGACAGTCTTCCATCTCTCTCGCACATCAGTATCCAGCTCGTACCCGCTATGAATTTCCCCGAGTATTATCACTTCACCAAAGGTGTGCTGCAGCCGACGAAGATCCGCTCGCTTTATCCAGAGCTCGAGTGGTGGCACGACTGGATGGACGACCATGCGACTGTCCGCTTTGCACTGAACGAGCCCCCGCAAATAGGGTATCAGGGTGACTTACATGATGCCGCTGGGGAGTCGGAGGATCAAGACGAAACTTCCTATTTCGACTGATCCTCCTTGTAACCTTGCTCAACTTCATAGCTCAAGCTGGCCCTCAGCACCCTCACTCCTTACTCATCCAGCAATGGCTAGATGAATGCATCGCAGGAGCCTTTTAATCAGTGTAGCGTAACCTCAAAGAATTACCCTGGGGGCACCTGTAGCTGTCCTGCTTATATATAATATACTCTACCTACAGGGCATGTGTGATGCATCAACGACTACACTTACAGTAGGTTCTTTGTAGCGTACCATTACAGTGCCTGTTATACATCACTGGTTCTTATTCCCACAGTTGAGGGGGAGTGTCCGCCCATCGTCGTGAACGATGATGGGACTACGCTTCGCGTCGCTTTCCCTATTGGATTTTGACATCGGGGGCTTAATCTCGCCCTGTTCTTTCTAATCTGGCTTCCCCCTTCTTTGTCGCGTGGACCCAAAAAAGTAGTAGAGATTACTATCTATGGACGGCTACAACATTCTACTAGCGGCGCCCCGACCGAAACAGCACCCTCCCCCGTTGCCATTAGCGCAGGGACATCCTTCCATGCTGACCTGCACTGCATCATTAGTGTCTGCCGTGTGTGCTCCTGGCGCCACGCGTACGCGCGGGGACCCTCCTCAGTGGCTGCCAATGCGCGTTCCTCCCATTTCTTCGCTTGCCACTCGTGAAACTGGATAACACGTCGCATCTCCTCTGACAGGAGGATACACTCCTCTTGCCATCGTTGGGCTCTCGCGCGGCTCTTGCACCATTCAATTCTGAGAGCTACTCAATATTAGCGCCGAAAGTAAAGTCATTGTTAAATTAAAACCTTCTTTTACCTTCGTTCATACCTTCCGTCAGTTCTGCTTCGTTTGTTCGCTCGGTTGCCCATATCCACGAGAGAGTTCGGCGCCCTTCAGATTGACTCGCATCTTCTCCGTCCCTTAAGCCACGAACATCGGCGTCTAACAGTGGTCGCAACACTTGCTCCCACCCTGATTTCCCGAGAACCGTGCCCAATGCGTGAAGGGCAACTCTACATGTTCGATATTTGCTTGCGGCCGCATTCACACGTGTTTGCACGTTCTTCACCAGCATGACACTCCGAGTGTTGTGAAATTGGCCGCGTGAGTACCGATCCTTCGATTGATACATCGAACTTAGGACAAGGAGGTTACGGCGGAGATCCCCGAGTGAATCGAACGCCTGCCCATAGCGTAGTCGCCACTCGTAGTCAGCTATTGAACGGACAGGTAACCGGTCAGCAACCTCTGAGGGAAGATACAGCTTGAGGGACTCTGCATCGGTGTGAATATCGGCCTCGGCTTCACTGGCCCGCAAAGATGTGACTCCCGGCATGTATAGATCCTGTACGCCACGCCATGCCAAGATCCGACGGCGAAGTCGATTTCGTCGTTCGATTATTTGAGTTCGCTGGTGATCGGTTGCATGGTTAGACAGTGCGTTCGAATCTGTTTGCAGACGAACTTGCTGATCTTGAAGATCGAGACCTTGCGCAATAAAGACACTGGGGCTAACACCATCATGAATCCCGCCGACTGCTTCTCTTTCTGCAGCCGCCGCGTCCTCTTCTGCGAGCTCTAAACGTATCCTTGCCTGAGATATTGTTTGGAGTGCCGGCTCGTACGGGTTCGTCATTTTGGCATCTGCCTCCCAGGCCCAAACTAACTGTGAGAAACCAGCGACAGTCTCCTTGGGCAAGCCTTCACTGAAGGCTTGGAACGCCTTGACATGCTCCGATCGCATCTGTAACGCTTCTTGCGCTTTGCGGAGAAGAGATTCATCTAAAAACCTTCAGTGACAGTTAGTGAACCACGCGGAAGTCAACACGTACGAAGAATGATGACCTTGCGCCAATTATAATCACCGAAGTGGTCGTCCAGGGTGTCGCGACGGGAGCCAGGCCCCATTTCTTTGGTGCTACTAGCCACTGGGTTCATTGCCGCCCAGCCGCGCTCTGGAGATTCACCGTCGGTGCGTCCAACGTTTGGTGTGAGATTGAAGGAATAGTTAATTTGACACTCATTGCGATGAGCGTAAAGATGGAACTTCGGAACGAGGTATTTGATTGACAGCTGAGTAAACCGCGGACCAACAAGCTCTTTCGGGTATGACGCCGCACGAGCTTGAAGGTTCCGTGCCCACTGGCACGCAATATCATACGAGGTAACGACTACGTTAGGGGAGTGATTTCGGAGGCTGGAAAAATAAAGGTAGTCCATGTTGCAGTAGCTAGGATTGTTATTAGCGAGTGAGGAAACATAGGGCAACGAATAACCTACCGTTCCCCTAGTTGCAAGTCCCCAACTGAGAGCGGTCGCTTCATGTCGTGCCGACTGCATTCTATAGTCCCCACCCCACTGGCAGTCATACCTTTCCCACCCCGGACGCTAGCAAGCTTGACCGCATCGTAGTTGTTACACGTACTTGGCTCTTCGGGCGGGAAATTGCCAGAAGCGTCCAAAAACGCCTTGTACTTCTTCTCGTCGACAAAATAGGCATATCCTCGGTTTAAGCCTGGATCTCGGATGTCATTTGATGCCGCCAGACGTTTGAGGCGGAAGTTGGCATCAATTGCCACGAACAAAGAATAAATCCACCTGAATTCAAGTAAGTCACGATTGTGTATCCAGGCTACTTTACTCACTGTTTTCTAGGCTCTACTTGCCAGTCTGACGGTAGATTTTTCCCCGGATGGGGACACGCAGGGCAAAGTACGGCGCATTCCCCTTCTTTTGTGCCTGAAACCCCCGTTGGATCATGACCACGTCCCGAACGTTTCAGAAGGCGAATATGGCGCCACTCGCGAACGATTCGCATAAAGGCTGTATAGCGCTCCTGTGGGCCTAGGTTAGCTGTCAATTTTTATGGTGATGAGTTAGCTGATTTACCGGCACAGATTCTCTTAGATTACTGCTTAACCGGACTAGAGATTGGTAGAACTCATACCCAGAGACCTTCGAGCCGAAAGTCAGAAGTTGGAATAACCGCAGGACCTCGAACGTAGCAGCGGTTCGTGGTTCGACGGTTGTCGCTGGAAATAGCCGAGCGCGCAGAAGCTGGGCGCTCTTTGACACGCCTTGAGTACAATTGCAGAAATCGAGATTGATGGTGAAGATCCCATGAAGTGAGATGACAACGAAAGCTTCGTTGAAAGCTGTATCCGCAAGAGGGCAGGGGTCCCCCTGAAGATGGTTGAGCTGCACCCGAAGGCCAAGAGCCCGGAGTGTTTGGCGCTCAAAGAACCTCCCGTTCCACCTCTAATCTAACGTCAGTATTGCGGCGTTATCTTCGATAGTCAACTTACTTCAACGATATGAAACGGATTCGTTCGATGGCGTTCAATCAAGCAATTTTGACAAGATAGCCGAGTGTTGAAGCACTGGGGGCACCGAAACGTTCCTTCGGCTTCCCGACACTCATGGCATATTATGGGAGATGTTCCGATGTCGCCGCGTCCTTCCAATCGAAGGAATTCCTCCACAAATGAGTCGATTTCGGATACCCATACAAGAAGTGGGTTGTCCTGTTGTATCAATAGTAAGCCCTTAGTGAGACACGAAAAGATGTTTGGTACGTACTCCAATAGTGCGCCTTCGACTGATTAACCGTACAATACTGCCGTCCTCTGCAGGTTCATCTGGTTCGATCATGTGGAGGCCTGAGTCATCGATGCCACTGTCGTCTACATTGACTTGACTGGGTGACGTGTGAGGGACTTCAAGTTGAGGAGTGTGATATGACCGGGTGGCCGATAGCCCAGACGCGGTGATAACGAAATCAGTATGTCGATGTGTGGGAGCAGAGGGGCTGGGACGCGTATTCCGTTCTGAATCTAATAAGGAGTCAACGTCAATAAGAGCTCGCTTTGGCCGGCGCATCGTTGATTGAGACACTTACCTCGCTGGAATGTGCTCTTATATACACTGACCTGGTGCTTCTGTAGCCGCACCATTGATTACATCGGGCTTGAGATTGAGGTTGAGAGTGTGTGCTGTGGCGACCTAACGGAAACGGAAGAAGGCTCAGTACTTTCTCACAGTCACAAAGATGATTTAGATTGACTCATGTTATCTTTCTCACACTTACAAGAATGAGCGCTGGGTCACAAAATATATTTCTCACAGTTACAAAATGAGCGCCGGGGTAACAAAATAGACTAAGCAGGAGTTTCGCAAAGGGGTTCATCCGCCCGTGCGACGTCTTCAAATGCCACAACGTACTGATGCGCGGTGGGGGCAGCCCCGTTGCCGATCTCCTTCCACTCATGACGCTAGGTAATGACTCAGTTCCGCTGATAAGCGTAAGAAATAAGGGAGCAATGCACTTACACGACGTGCACGATCAGCCTCAATTGTGATCTCGTCCTTCCAATTTCCGGTGAATTTGGGTAAAGAGAAGGCTCCACCGTGGAGGAGGGTGTCGAGCAGGATTAGGCTCATTGCCCATGCCTACGAGAATACCCAAAATGGGACAAAGGCTCAGAAATAAGTGAGACGACGTACTTTTTTCCACCTAGGAGTAGCCGTAGGGAAGCGGTCTTCAAATAAGGGGAACGCCGCTATGAAGAATTCCTTGTACTCGTGTTCATCGAATGCTTTGTTGAAATAAGGCAGGACCCCCGAAGCGAAAATGTGGATTGGGTCCTCCAAAGGGTCGGGGTTCAGTCGAAGTACTCCAGTGCCAAGATGGATTTCATAAAGATTAGCCATTTGGGGACTTAGAATGAGAGCCATGAATGCCGGAAAACAGGGAAGAACAATGTTTACTCACCGAGCCGAGGTCAGAGTGTTTACTTGCCGAACCGAGGCCAGGTTGTGGTTGGGGAAAAGATCAGGCGAGGTGGAGTGTCCATATATGGCACTTGAACACTGGTCACATGCATATGATAGCTTAGGAGGTTCGAACACAATAAATCTGCAGCATCCAATAGACTGCATATCCCAATAATATTTCCATCGGGAATTCGACCGGTAGGCTATTGCGACCTATTCATATAATTTTA